TCAGTTAATCCTAATTGTAGTCATCAAAATCTTATATAAGGATTCACCTTTCACCTAACTTCAAGCATTCAAGATGTCCAGGGTTAGTGATTTCATTGATAGTTCTGTCAATGCATGCTATAATTCTCCATCAAATCTATCACATAAGACCAAGGCCCTTTTTCTGTTTATTCTTTCCTTCAAATCTAATTATCAACTTATGTACTTTCATTTCAAATGTACCTTTCCTTAATATATTTTTTTCTTCTATTTTCTTGGTGCTCTTGAGAAAGCTCTAAAAACTTAAAGTTATCTTGAACATCTTTGTCATGATCATCTATCCCATCATCTTGTTTGCATCACATGATATGATAAAAATCTCATATTCAACGCATCATCATACATTAGAGTAGATTAAGACATTGGTCCCTCATTTAAGAACCACATGATCTATTTGTCATTACTACTCTAATGCTACTAACTATTAACATTATAAGCAATTGATCATATCATTCATTTCATCTATATATCTTATCATGAAAAAATAAATCAATGGATATTAATTATTTACAATCTACTCTTATTTTACCGACCATAGTCTCATTTGAGGATTCACCTTCACCTCGCCTCAAACATTTAAAGTGTTGTTCAACATTGTTAATTTTTTTGATAAAATTCTTAAGGCCTACTAATGTTCTTCATTAATATATCACGAAAGACATGAGTGTCTTAATTATTTCTCTTTTTTTCTCTCCCATATAAGGTAAATACCTATATCTATACTTTCATCTCGAATTCATCTTCACCCAATTGTAATTGATTATATTCCTTTTTCATGGGGCTCTGGGTAAATTTTTATAAATAATTTACTATATGTTTATTATACCAAGAAGTCTAATGAAGTTATATATTTTATTTACTTCAAAAGTGGATGTAAGTGTATATATACATCAAACCATTTGATGTTAGTTGTTTTATACTTTCTTTTGTATATCATGAGTTTTAAGAATGCCCATTTTCCTATTATGGTCAAGAAAATAGCATGCACTCCTCTGGACCTCTAGGGTTTTGGGCATTGGAGTTTTTTTTTTCTTTTTTTCTTTTTTCTTTTTTTGAGAAAATCAACAACCAGAATGTTCCATCACCCTCAAGGTTGCCGAGTAATTGTGAAACCTAAGAAGTTAGGTACTATGATTCTCTTATTGTAATACCTATCTTATTATAATTTCATCTTTGAAAGAAAAAATCATAATTCTTTTTATGCAATGGTGTGCATTTGATACCCTATTATAAAATTCTAGTTTATCAATAATATACTCATTTTACATTGTATTCTTTTTCAATAATGAAAGTGCTACCTAACTCTCATCAAGGGGGAGTGCTCCTTTTGTTCTTGTCATTCTTAATAGAGAGAGACATAAGCATTAATATATTGATGAAGCTAAAAAGTTTATATCTTGATGGAATAAGCTCCATTTTATAACATCATGATAAGGTATATTTTTTTCTCTAAGCTTGTTTCTCATTTATAAAGTGATTAGGCTTCAATCAGAGACTTTATGAGATGTCATATATGATAATTAAAATTTTACTTATTTCTATACAACCAAGAGTAAGGAACCCATTCAATGATTCAATAAACAAAGTACATTATAAACGTTGCCCTACAAGGAGGCATATAAAAGAAATGTCATTGAAGAAGAGGACAAATGTTTAGAATTGTTCGTCCTGGCGATTTACATCCACTATTAGGACAAACAAGAGCAAACATATACTTGTCTAATTAAGTACAAGTAAAAAATTATGCAATATTGGCGGAGCTTTCTTGATTACATGAAGAAAAGATTGAAGGAAATAATGATGAGAAAGATTAAAGGAAATATTAATGATATAGAGATTTATATACAAGACAATAAGTATAATTCTTATTTCATTATAATATATATGAAGAGAATGATGAATACTAAATGTAGTACAATTGTTTTCTTTAGATGATAGGATGGATATGTTGTTGTGAGCTTTAAGAATAACATTGGAATTACTATCCGTTATAGTACAATTGAATTTGGGAGGTCAATGATGAAGGAGAATCCACAAACAACTCTTAGAGGTGGTGGTAGGTTGTGGAATGTTAGGAAATTTATAGGCAAGTAGATATACTGAAATTGATAACGATTAATTAAATAAGCTGATGATGATAGAGACTTTATAGATGAATTCAGTATTTTGATTCATAGTCTTGTCATAATAACATGATAACAATATCTACAAAGATAATGATCATTAAATGTTAGTGCAATAATGATGCAAAGAGTGCTTCAATATCCTTTTGCATATAAAGAGCAAAAATTCTATGATTTTGACAGATAAATCAGGTAATGATGCCTTGCCATGGATAATGACTGACATTGATGACCATTAGAACCCTTCATTATTTGTTGTTTACAAAAAAATATAGAATAAAAACAATACCTATCATTGTGTGTCCAGAAATGCCCATTGTTAAATAATTCTAATGACCATTAATGTATATCTGTCATTGCCTACTAACGATTAGCTATAATAAACATCATCTCTCGACCTTTGAAATTTGATGTCTTTCACATTCAACAATCATCACCACGAATGTATTATTGTATGTTATCAATTGACACTAACAATAATGTTCACCAATCATCAGATGCTGCTAAATATTTTCGCTCGTCCTTTAATGCGAATAATTACTTATTCTCTGACACAGACTTGCAACTGTCATCAATCGATATTGATATTGATCATGATCCGCCTTCTACTTGCCAACTTCATAGCATTTCAATATTTTCCAACATCATCATTGGGACAAAAAAATTTGTTTAATTTAAATGTTTTCTTTCATAAAATTGAACCGATAAAGAATTCAAGTATTAAATTTCTTCACTATAGTTAAGACTTATATTTTTCATTAAACTCATAGATTGGAACATAATCCAATATAATGATTATATGAAATAAACTTTGATAGAACAGTATAAACCGATCTAATAAATAAAAAGCGCACCAATCAAAATAAATTTTGGAGAATATTTTTATTTTTAATTTTTTGTTTCTTTGTGCCTTTTTGGTAAATACTTTTGCACTTTCTCAAAAGCTGTTTATTCTCCGCGTTTTGTTCTCTGGCCGGTGTTTTTTACCAGCCTCGCAGCATTCTTCCAAAGCAGCTCTTCTACAATCCCTTTCCTTTTTTTACCATCCATTAATCCTATGCACTGTTGACATAATATGGAAAAAGTGTAGAAGTTTTTGGCCGCTAGATGTGATGTAAAAATCGTGCTAGGAATATTTGATGGTAAGAGATTAGAATAACCTCAAAGCTGATTATTGCGTTTTAAGAAGCTGCTAAAACGTTTTTATAAACCTCAATGTTTTTTTTTTGAAAATTAAAAAAAAAATACAATTATTTTATATAAATCAAATGTTCCATTATTTTTTATAAATTAGAAGGACAAAATTATCTCGCATTTGAACTGATTGGATGGATTAACAACGTTGTAGAAAACATAAAAAATGGTTTGGATTGTCGGATCTGCTTTAAAATTCGTGCAAAATTGTGGTTATAATCGATTGCAGATATGTTGATCATATCTAGAATCATATTTAACTTAATTGTATTATAAGTTATTCAAGTTGAAGTTAAATAATATTCATATTTGATTCATCTAATTTCTTTGTTTTTTTAAAAAAAATATTTAAATTTGTTATATTATTATTTTGAATGAAGTTAAATTAATATTTATACAGCCAGAATATTAAGCCTAAATTTTATTATTTTGGAACTTAAAATAATATGCAAATTATATATTGGAATCAAATGAATAATTTTACAAGCTTAAATAAAATTAAGCTCTCACACAATTCTTCTTGATTTGCTTTCAATTTAGAATTTAAAAAACAAAAAAGCTTTTTTATTTTTATTTAAATTAATTTTGAGTTTGATTTTCAATTTAATTTAATTGAATTTAAATTAAACTGGAAAAAAAAAAAGACATTCAAAATGAATCTGGAGAGGGTGTTTTCTCCCTGCCTAAAAAGGATGGTAAGGGGAAAAAGCCTTTCACTTCTTTTAAAATTGTTTTCTCATTTTGTTTTTTTCACTAAAATTCTTCCCTCTATATTATTAAAATTACTTTTTAAAAATATTTAATAAATCTATATCGATAAAGGGCTGTAAATTGATAAAAAATTAAAATTTATTGTGAGCCGACACTCAGAGAATAGGCCCCAACCACAGAGGCCTGAGTGTGAACCAACTGACTCTGGGGCCTCATACTTTGTTGGTACTGAGCAAATCCAACCTCAGACCTTTTTTTTTTTAATTTTTACATTTAATCATAAATTCAAATAAAATGAATATATATATATATATAACTTTTTAAATCCAAACTTTAATTTTTGAATTAAAAAAATGCTTTTTAATTAGCGATGAGAAAGTCATCCCAAATGAAGCCTTAGTTTAAAAAAAAATTGTGATAAAATAAAATTGCTTCAGAAAACAATAAGAAAGTCATCCTAAAAATCTTATAATATTTGAAATTTTTTGGGCCTTATTTTTTATTCTAAATTAAGATAATAAAGATTTTGCTAGTCTATTATCTTATAGTATATGTTCTCTATTTTATGTCCTCGACTATCATCCATGGAATAAATTTGAACTAAAAAGGATTATTTTTTCTAATTATCAAAAAATATTTAAAAATTAATGTATTGTAATATAAATTTATCTAAAATATAATGTAAAAATATGTATTGTACAATTTAAATAACTATTTTTTAAATAAAAATAAATACAAGTATTAAATATATAAATATACAATTTTTTTTACTATATCTATTGAGTAAGAGCTTTTCTTCTCATGATTATTTATAGTTAAATATATTAATATATTTTTTTGTAATATCTTTGTATAAATAAATAGTAGAAAGATAAGGAAAAGAAATAATAAAAAAAACTTTTAAAAATAGTGGCGTGTAGTAGGATTGGCCAAGGCAAAGCTTCGACGCTTTAGCTGCGGGGCTTTTGCCACTTTCGTGCTTCATGTGATCTCCTTTTGCATACGAATCCCCCCACCAGTCCACCATCTCCTTGTCCTCTTCCTTCCCATCCAGATCGAATCCATTCTCCCACTTTCTCTCTCTACCCCCCTCAGTCCTCCCACGTATCTTCTCCATCACCCATCCCTCAACTCTTCGTACCTCTGCAAAGCCCATCCATGGCGTCGTCTCACTCTCCCAAATCGCCTACTTAACTTTCACTCTATCTCCAAAGCCCGACCCGTCGACCCGCCCGCTTTCCCCCGGCGCCGGAATGTTGCCCCACGTCGCCCAACACATCCGCCGCGAAAAGCTCCGCGTTCAGCCCTCTTATGATCCCTCCACCTTACCGCCTCAATTAGATTTTCCCGCCTCCGATTCTTCCTCTTTTTTAAACCCATTCGAACCCTCCTCCGCTCTTTGGAAAACCGATTGGATTCTCCACAACTGCACCAATCCCGCCGAGTTGCATTTGCCCTCTTTACCCTTTTCCCCATACCCTCTCCACGAGGTCGTCAGCTCCTCTGGATTAGATTTGTCGCCGTCGCCTGCTCTTCTGCCTCCTCCCCCGCCCTTCGACAGCGGGAACGAACTACTTCTGCTTCCAAACTACGCCAGCGCAAACTCAGGCTCTGTTTGGACCGCGAGATCTCATTCCGACGGCCAAAGGCTATCGCTCTCGCTGGCTTCGAACCCTCCGCAAGAGATTCTCGCCGATAGATGGCTTCCGGTTCAAGGAATTAGCGGCGGGCGGCAAACCGCCGGCCCGCTCGGTCCTTTCACCGGCTACGCGGCGATATTGAAGTCTTCTAGGTTCTTGAAGCCGGCGCAGCAGCTTCTTGATGAGTTTTGTAGCGTGGTGACTGGTGCGAGGGTCGGGAAGGATTATGATAGCGGGAGCTCTGTGGCGGCTTCCTCTTCTTCTTTTCAGAGCTCGACGGACATTGTAGGTGTTGAAGGCGGCGGCGGTTGTCATAGTGGTGAGATTCAGTACTGGCCGGAGGTCGAGCAGAAGAAAGCCAAGCTGCTTTACATGCAAGAAGAGGTAAAATAGTACGGTAATTACTTAATTAATTAATAAATGGTGTTGTTCTCAGGTGGTTTAAGTCAAGTAATTGTTCGACATGCAGATGTGATATTGTCTGTCAGGAATATTCTCGTTTTTATTTTTTTGCAGGCGTAGGGTTAAGCTATCTAAATAGAGGTATATGAGTGCTTTTAAGTAGATGTGATTGAAAGAAATATTAGTATTAATGCGTTCTATGAAGTGATTTTTTATAAGCGACTGTGCTTCGCGTAATAGTTTGATTACTTCTTTCCTGTCAGATTTTCTTAGGGTTAAAAATGAAAGAATGGAGGTGATCGATCACATTGGCAAAATTAGTACGGCCGAGTAGATTAAAAGTTTATAATATTTTGTTGAGGGTAATTATAATGTATCTGTTATAATTAATTGTTTTAGGTTCTTGATATTTTTGTCTGAAGCCTGTTGAAATTTACTATTTTTGGAGAAATATTTCTTTTACATGAAGAGTAGTCTGCTACTGCTTTTAATTTCTACCAGTTGAGTACAGACATATTTACTACCTCTATGGATATGTAATTTTTTTTCCTTTAATATAGCTATATTTTCACACATTTGGGTCGGTATATTGATTACAAATTTACAATAAAATTTTGATATGTTATTATATTTTGGAAATTTAAATATTGCTGATAGAATTTCGGGTAACGTGGAGAGTCTATTGCTTTTGCATGAGCTATCAACTGCTGAAGAGTTGCCCCCAACCTCTCTCTTTTAATGGTTTTGCATGTTTCTTTGGAAATGTAAATAGAAATGTTGACATTTCTTCTTCCCATCTTTGGTTTGTATTTGAACCCCCGTTAAAACAATTTAGCAATACTGCTTTGGTCATATTTTATGGTATCATTAATGAGATTAATTATTCTGTGCGGACTCAAGAATGCGCCACGGCAGCCTTTAGCTTGGTACCGCGGCTCGATATTGCTCTATACAGCTAACGGGGCTCATTCTGGCTGGTCTCTAGACTGGTCTCCAAATGGCATTCTGTGTCCGGTGAGGCCACAAAATAATTTCTCCATTTATGCATGGGTAAGCAGGTTGGCTTATATCCTTTAAAAATAAAAAAATGCATAATCTGGTCTTTAAATATAAAAATAATTAGTTTGCTGCTATCTTTAAAATTAATAATCAGAGTTAAGAGGGAATTTTTCTTGCTAAATTATGATATTTTGAACAGTTATTTATGATATTTTGAACAGTTTTTTATTGAGATGAGAGCAGTATATTTTTTGAAAAAAAAAAAAAAAAAAAGATATTTGCTTCTAATATTTTATTATTCTGCTGAAGTTGGATGTTTATGCGTTAAGTTATATTGATGAATGGGATAAAAAAAAAAAGAATGAGCTGTACCATTTTTAGTGCTGTTGCGTTCAAACTTTTAACTGGCGAAGTTCTATAGTCATTGAATGGTAGTGGGCGTTCAGAAAATTTTTTGCTATATTATTTATGTATGTTTTTATGTATTTAAATACACTTTCAATTTGTATTTTTCTATGAGTATTTGCTTGCTGCTAAGAATTTTTCGCTTGTGAGGAAAAACAAATCTTGTCCCTTACTATAGGACTTTGCCCATTGATCGATCCTAACTATAAATCAATGTCAGCTAGTTCTGTAGAAGACAAAAGTCCTTACTAATGATAATGGTGAGGTGAGTGACATTTAACATAAGGAAAAGATCTAAAGAAATTTGGCAAAGTCTTCAAATGATATTCTCTATCCGAAGTGCTTCATCTATCATGGCGTTGCATTGGTATTGCTAAACTTTACTAGTTTTTTAGTTTTGCAAATTTTTAATCTGTAATAAGTTTGTGTTTATGGCCTGTGGTTCGCTCTCCCTCCTTTCTGTCATGATTGGCCCTCAAGCATGGTTCATGCTTCCCCCAGGTTTCGTATGCATTATGGTTTTGATTTGATCTCTTTGCTTTAATTGGCACAAACTTCATTTTGTTGAGATTTGAACTTTGTAAAATCTGGTAGGGAGGCTTAAACTTCCACTTCTAGGTGTTGAAGTAAGTAATTGTTGATAACAATATAGTTAATAGGATAATGTGGATTAATAATGGTAATAATTGGGCTTGAACATCAAATACCATGTTGAAAATTGGAACTTTTATGGTGTAAAAATAGCTCTTGAATAAAATTAATGATTATTACAATAAAGTAGGTTTAGTATAATCGACCTTGACTTAAGTGAAGATTTGATCAAATTGAGTTATCCTGAAAATAAATCATAATATATGGACACTTTTTTATGTGTATATTTAGTATTTATATTTTATGTTTTTTTGTTTACATACAATTATATAGGCTAATAATAATGCGTTTATGTGATAGCATTTTTTATATGTGGTACTAAGAATTTTACTTGAAGGTTGATAATATACAAAAAAATGAAATTGATTTAGGCTCTAATTTTGCTAATAATAAAGCTATTGAACGTTTCATATTGCGATCAAATCGAGCTAGCCAAAAACTATAGTTGTGAATTTTGCTCAAAGATTGAATGTCGCTTGAAAATTTGAACAGTTTTTTTTATTTTGTTGTCTTGGATCAAATCCAGCAAGTTGATTAACGAGCAAAGCCCAATTCAATTAAAATTTGAATTGACCTGGGCCAGAAATAGATCTATCTATATCTTGAGATTGGATTGAATAATATTCTGTGTTTGTATTTATGAATGCATATATACATATATGTATGTGTATATAATTTATTTTAAATGAATGTATATGCATGCATTCATGCATCTATATATTTGAATCTTTATACGTGTAAATGTCTGAATGAAAGTTAAAGAACCTAGCTGAAATTTAACCAAACTTGGCTTGAAGTTCAGATTGGTTGACTTCAACCTGTTCTTGAGTTAGTGTTGAATCGGCTTAAGATTGCATCTTTAAAACCCTTGCTAGTAGTTAAGCATGGTTGGGACCGAGATTGGATCAAACGAATCAAATAGCTTTTGGCCGTTAGTTGAAGTGAGATTGGACTTGTACAGCTCACTAAACTCTATATTTAAACTCTAAATGGTGCAACTGTGTGTTGGTAATGATTATACTTATTGGTTTCATTGCATAATTTTTATTGATGTGTGCTTAAGGTGCTGTCAAATTTTCTCTACTATTTAGCTGCCATTGGGACTTGTAGCTTCTCTTCCATCAAGGAAATGCTTGTACTGAAAGTAAAGCAAATGCATTTGTTTGAAATTTATATCTTTTTTAATGTTTAGCATATTATAGCATTGCGACTTTCAGTTTATGTAAAGCTGCATGTCACAACTTGGTCGGCATGTGGAGGTAAACTTTCTTTCCGTTTTATTTGAAGCAACTTATTTAAAATTTATGTTTAGATAATTATTTTTCTGTTAGTTTTTAATGGAAAATACGATTAAAAAAGTTATTAAAAATAAATCTTAACCTAAACAACACTGCCTTCAGCTATATTAATTCACTACTCTTCCATGCGAAGGCAATAATTTATTAGAGAAAATTTACGTGGAAATAATTTTTTTAAGAAATTTATTTAGTTATATTTATCAAAAATGGAAATAACCTTCAATTTTTTAACTTCGCATTTAAAAATAAATTTTAATTAAAATTAAAAGTTCTTATATTAATATTTTCTTATGGTTAGCAATAAATCTTGATGTTTGTTTAATCTTTTTTTTTTTTTTTCCGAATTTATGATAAACACATTTACTGTATCATAATTGTATAATAAATTTTGTTCAACTATTAAAATGTTTAAAAAAAATGAATGAGAGCATTTTTGTTTTTTGGAAGATATGACAGCATTGTTGTTTTTATTGAACAGAATTTATGGCTATTACTTTTTTTACAAATTCTGTATTATAGGTCGAACCAAATAGCTCTATCTACTTATTTACAATAGTTTCTTTTCTATAGAAAATTCTCCAACGATTTTGTTGATGATAATTTTCAAAACAAATAAGTCTTGAAATTTAAATCTGCACTATGCTTTGAACCCAAATGGTTTAAAGTTTCCAGTAGTAGTTTTTGCTTTTAGTTTATTATTGTTGCATATTATAAGAATTTCTACCATTTGGGGGAGCATAAGTAATTTCTACCATGTTATAAGAGTTTCTATTGGATGTATGATTTTATGGCCTGAACACGTGAAGTGTGCAAAGGCCGTTGCACCGATGTTTGGGTGCAGTATTAAATAGGCAAGAGTTCCCTCATCTTAAATAGATGTGGGCAAAGAAACTAGTCTGTGAAATTAATATTATGATATAAACTTGGAATATATATTTCCTTACAAGCACGTTAGTAGATTTTAAGGCTAAGGAGATTAATAGTTTAGGATTTAAACTATGTTATTCTGGTAGAATTCGTATTAGAAATAGTGTAGTTGTGATTATAAATTAAGAGTTTTAAGGATAATATTGTAAAAATTAATAGAATTGGAGATTAAATTATAACTTTAAAGATTGTTAATGTTAAGATAAGATTACAGAGAGTCTCCTTTGATGGTTTGGTTCGATAAAATGGCGGTCTTTCAATGATTCGGTTAAGATTGTAGATGTATTAGATTTGGCTTATGTTAAGAAGGTAGAGGTATACTTAAAAAGATTTGGTTAAAAAATATTAGAAATGCCCTTTTTTTATTAAATCTATATAAGAGTTTTTACTGGATGTATGATTTTATGGCTTGAACACACATGAAGTGTGCAAAGGCCGTTGCACCGGTGTCTAGGTGCAGTAGTAAATAGGCAAGGGTTCCCATATCATGAACAGATTTGGGCAAAGAAGCTAGTTTGAAATTAAAATTAGGGTAGAAACTTGGAATGTTGGTTCCCTTACAAGCAAATTAATAGATTTTAAGGTTAAGGAGATTAATAGTTTAGGATTTAAACTATGTTATTCTGGTAGGATTCATACTATAAATAGTGTAGGCGTGATTTTAAATTAAGAGTTTGAAAGATAATATTATAAAAATTGGAATTAAAATTATAGCTTTAAAGATTGGTAATGTTAAGATAAGATTAGAGAGAGTCGCCTTAGATGTTTTGTTCGGATAAAATGACGGTCTTTTGATGACTCGGTTAAGATTTTAGATGTATTAGATTTGGCTTATGTTTAGAAGGTAGAGGTAGACCTAAAAAGATTTGGTTAAAAATATTAGAAATGGCCTCTCTTTATTAAATTTAACACAATGGAGAAAAAAGAATTCATGTAGTCAACCTCACGTTGTGGGATAACGCTTGATGTTGTTGTTGTTGTTGTAAGTGCAGCAGGACTAGTGCAATCTTATTGATGATGAACTTATATTATTTGTGATGAACTTGAGTAAGTAACTTCTGGGCCCCTCAACCCATAAGTGAAGGGATGTCATCATTAGAGTGCCATATGGTGACTAGGACATCAATGTTAGTGGCAATAAAAGATTCTAGGTCAATGATTGTAGCAAGCCAACAAAGGCGTCAATGAAATTGTTGAAGATGATGGTAAAAGATGCTGGGGCCATAGTTATGGGCAACAATATTAGCTATATTGAGCGAGTACTCCAGCTTTTGTTGGCAACAAAAACTAGAGCAAGGGAATTGGATGTGGTGAGGAGCGTCGATGAGTAGAGATAGTAAATGTGGTCAGGAACAACAATAGGTCAAGACATTGGGATTGGAAATTAATGTCTGCAAATGACATCAAAATTGACTAGTAGTGATAGTAGGTTGTTGTGAAGCTGGATGATCCATACATTAGCAATAAATGACATCATTAAATGTAGTATGGTGTTGTTTGTAAGAAATTTAGAGAGTGAAGGGATTGGATGTGATGAGGAGCATAGGTGTGATAGAAAGTTTAGTGTTTAAGTCAAAATTACAAGACTATTTTAGAATTTTCATTATAAATCTGTTTTAAGGATTGGTCTGCTAACAAATAGTCACTCGAATCATCTACTCGAGAGAAGTTTAGAAGAACATGTCTCAAGTTAAGTAGTAAAACTCAAACATCCCCAAGAAATTATGTAATGGTAGGTAGAGATGGTCTATCAAATTGTATGGATCCATCAATTTAGATAAAATTTAATTAAAACGGAACAATGTAGGTTTACCTTGATATAGGATGGAACAAAATTTGATTGCTGTGATTTAAAAAAAAAAATGAAGTTGATGACCTTGGTAAATTTTGTTTGCCAAGTTGGTCGCAGGCCACCTAGGCATATGGTAACCTACTCGTTATAGAAGGAATATTTATAAACCCTAAACTCTAGGGATTGATCATTCAGATAATTAAACGAATTTTTGTTAGATCTACTTAAAGGGATTGGGATTGTAAAAAAAATTAGAGGAATATGAAAAAACTTCACATCACCTTTACTATCTTGAAGGGATTGGGATTGTAAAAAAATTTAGAGGAACATGAAAAAAACAGAACATGATGCAACACATACCCCTGAAAAAAGCCAGTGTGATTTGAATAAAAACCTGATTGAAAATGTTTGGGGCAGTCTGATTGTGAGTCATAATATTTCTCATTTATAGGCTATAAATGTTTACCCTGAAATGTTCTTCTTTTTTTCACTTTTAACTTATTAGTATTCACCTCCTCTCTTTCTTTTTCCCGCTCTTAATTTGATCATGATTCATCCATCATCTCTGCTCTTTAATGATAGAGAAAAGTTTGTCGCTTCCTATGTGGGACTTCATTGCTAGTCACCAACCTCTTGCAAAGCATGGTGTTTCAACTATCATTTCCGAACCTCTAATGGTTATTGTCAACATTCAACAAAAATTCCTTTGTATGCATTCCTGCTAAAAAAGTTCAGCAATCCTTCTGGTCTGCTAATTCTATGAAGGAAAATAACGAGTAATGCTTTTCAACATTATCCAACCATATTCTAATACTTAGAGATGATAGATAACTTGTACAGTATAGATGGATGACATTATGTGGTAGGTAAGAAGGTTATAGACTCTGCAATCATGGGTGGTGAGAATTATCACCATTTATCTTAACTAATTATTATAAATCATCACCTACATGCTCGCCTATATGTGTAACACAATTAGGGAGAATTCTGAGTTTCAGTTATGTTCATATTATTCATTCCTGCTAAAAAAGTTCATATTATTCATTCTGAGTTTTAGCATCTTGTGGCTTGATTGGTTGGTGTCATTAACTGAATTTTGCTCTCTAGATGTAAGGATTTATTATTTATTTATGTATAATCCTAAATAATATAAACCTGTTCTAAAGGTTTGGTTGCGAATGATTTATGCCGTAGATATGGGATTTTCAGATAAAACCACTTTCTATTTGCTTCTAATCTGTTTTTTTTAATTTCTATATGTTTTCTTACTCAGGATTCCAAACAATCCAACAATAGTTTTGTAAATTTAATCTTGCCATAAATTCTCTCTCTTTTTAAATTTTCATTGCTGTTTTTATGTCTCCATTAGTGAATCAAGTTTGCACCTGGTTTCATATAGTTTCATCGTTTAATTATGTTTCTGAAATGGTTTTCTTTAATAAGGATTTTGTTAACATTAATTGGGAATTTATCATGTAAAATTACGAAGAAAAAAAAGTAAATAAGTACTGCAAGCATTTTACAGTAATACAAAAAAAATATTGCTTAAGAATGATATTTGTTTTCCCAATTTTTTTTTGAAATCGACTGCTCTTATCCAATTTATCAATTTAATTTTCATGGTGCAGGTATATTTGTATCATTATAGCATGAATTATTAGATATATTTAAAATATATTGGTTTCAATTTTTTCAGTAGTTTCCTATTACTCTAGCTTAATATGAAATGATATCATGTCTATTATCTTGTATGTCAATGTGATTTCCTCAACCAAAAGTTTTCTATCATTATTCTTTCCTTGTGATATTTTAATGCATGGATTATAATTTTCTGAATTCTGTTAGGTTTGCAGAAGATATAAGCAGTACCACCAACAAATGCAAATGGTGGTTTCCTCATTTGAATCTGTTGCAGGCCTGAGCTCTGCCACACCCTACACTACCTTAGCCTTGAAAGCTGTTTCTAAGCACTTCCGATGCTTAAAGAGTGCAATATCTGACCAGCTTAGGCATGTCTGCAATGTCCTTGGTGAGGAACTAATGGCTTCATCTCCTAGTTCCAGTAGAAATGACAACTTGACCATTCCAAAGCTAAAATACATTGACCAGACTGTCCGACGGCAAAAGAGTGGTGATGGCAACCTCAGCTTCTCTGATAACACCCACCCCATTTGGAGGCCTCAGAGAGGCCTTCCTGAACGTGCAGTATCTGTTTTAAGAGCCTGGTTATTTGATCACTTCCTCCATCCGTAAGTTGCTCTCAAACATCCTTATTTTTCAAATTTGAAGATTTTTATTGCATGTTGATGTTGATTAAAAAATTTTGTGAATTAGCTGAATAGGATTGCTGGGCCTTGTACAGTAAGAGAATTTTCTAGAACAAACTATAAATATTTTAAATTCAAATCTATCTTTGGAATTCATCATTACTCTTGTTAAATTTAATCCCTCATTAACAACCGTATTAACTTTTTGTGAAAATGGTTATCTAGGTATCCAACTGATACTGACAAGCATATGCTCGCAACTCAGACTGGTCTGTCCAGGAACCAGGTAACTTCTCCTCTCTTTGGTGCCTCTGCTTCTCTTTTAAAGGCTTGGGGCTCCCAGATCTGCCTGTCTGCATCTAAGTGTTTTTTATTACTAGGGCCCCACTTCTCATGTCTTCAACTGGGCAAATTATTAGGTGCGGACACCTAACACAGAGAGATCCTGATTTCTCTCTGTCTATAGTAAAAATACAGTTATTGTAGCAGCTGCGCTTTTAACATAAACAAAGAGAAAACCGGACTGTTCTCTCCGTATTGTGTCGGCACCTAATAATTTCTCCTGCAACTGGGGTTTTCAGTTTAGGTTCAAAACCTTTGATTTTTGGAAAAGAGTCAACTGACTTCAGGTCAAAATTGATGTGCTGCATTCCTTGGAAACTGAGCTGAATCCAGTCTAGCATTTGCTTTATATGATCTGGCTCAGGTGACCTGGGACAGTACTGGCTATAGCCCTACAGGTTTACCCAGACTACCGTCATTCATGGCAGTAATTGATCCTGCTACCTTTTTGACTAACACCAGTCTCAGTCTTTAAAAGATACAGAGCACAAAGAATTTATTCCATTCATGTCCCACACCAATTTGGTCTCTCCACACTATTGAATAAAGTAACTTACTGACTAGTCAAAAGTTATTTTGCACTCCATGTGAAATAAGAAACTTGGTAAAAATGACAACACCAGATCAACCCTTTATCTTTTGCTAAAATATGGAGAGATTATTATGTGCGGACTCCGGACTGGAGAACTGTCTGGTACCGCTTGTTCGGTAGTGACCGATGCATTTTGTTGGTCTCTGGACCATATTAATGTACTAAGTACATTTTAAAAAACTTTATTGACATTTTAAAATGCAGGTTTCGAATTGGTTCATCAATGCCCGGGTCCGATTGTGGAAGCCCATGGTGGAAGAGATCCACATGCTTGAGACCAAAGGCATGGCCGGAATGGACCTGAATTCATCAAGCAAGACCATGGCAGACAAAGCTACAATCGTTCAAAGATCCGAAGCGCAATCGAGCAAACATGTCCTTGTTTCTTCCTCTGATGAAATGCCAATGGCGAAGAGCTCTCATTGCTTGGAGCACTGGCATGAGGGGAAGAGATCGAGGATCGAAGATTGCGCCATGGATGCTGGGCTGATGAGCTTCGCATACCAAGGAGGGATGGATATAGGCGGGCTGGGTGCTGTTTCCTTGACTCTGGGACTCCGGCAAGGAGAGGGAATACAGCCAGAGCAGCAGATGAGGCATTTTGGACATCAAATGCTTCATGATTTTGTTGGCTGAAGCTCCTTTTGGCTTAGATTTCTCTGCATATTTATTCTATATTTTAGTAATCAAGAATCAGGTTTCAATGTTATGGTGAAATATTGATAATAGATTATTTACATGGGAGTAAGGCTGGTTTTGGAAAGGAATTAGTTATATAGCTGGGTTGGAGGATCAAGTTGGGGGAATTGGAGATATATGTGGGAAGTAGATTCATCCTTTGTATATTGTTCAAGCTTTTGTTATACTTCCCATGGAAGATACTAAGTTATTAATCATCATTCAAGGCTTCATTCAATATTCCGTTTTTTATTATGCTGTAGAAAATAATTTCATTTTCTATTTTTCTTTGCATGAAATCATTATGAATTCTCTTAATTCAATTGTATGTTCATGTAAGTGCAACTAGTTTTTATTAGTATTATGATTTTAAAGATAGATTGATATTTCTCTGTTAAATTTCAATTACATTTGTTAGTCTATTTTTATTTTATTCTGTATTTAATAAGAATAAATTGGGTGTAACATAATTGTTTGAATGTATTGCTCGTTAATGGATTTTTAATATTTATTTATAAATATTATTTTACCAAACTTATTTTCTCTAAAATTTGTGATCTTTGGAACATTCTAGTAAAAAATCATGATTATTCAGCTTTTTAAAATTCCTCTGTTGGTTTAACAAATCATGTGGTTCATTTATTTATCCAAAAAAAAAAAAAAATTAAAGGAAGCTAATTCTTAAAAAAAGAAGAAAATACAGTCACGAGGGTATCCTTCTGAACGCTAGACTCAAGCTCAATTAGCCTCAAGCTCAATTACAGAATTAATTATTTTGCAAGTACATTTAATATCGTTTAGAGATCAATCAGAATGCGTATGACGCATTCTTTCGCTCAGTAACGAAGCTCGGTACTGCTTAGAATCATTGATGTGACACATTCTGATTGATCTCCAAATAACATTCTGCGATTAAATTTCGATTACATTTTTTTAGTTTTTTTTTCTGTATTAAATATGAAGAAATTGATTGTAACAACATTAATGGATTTTTAATATTTTTTTATATTTTTTTAATAAGGAATATTTTACCAAACTTATTTATCTCTAAAATTTGTGATCTTTGGAACATTCTAGTCAAATATCATGATTAATCAGTTTTAAAAATTCCGCTATTGGTTTAACAAATCATGTGGTCAAAGAGTCTTGCATTTATTTATCCAAAAAAAAAAAAAAACATTAAAGGAAGCTAATTCTTAAAAAAAAAAAATAATAATCAAGAGGGCGTCCTTCTGCCAACGCTAGCCTCAAGCTCAATTACTGGATTAATTATTCTACACGAATGTCGAATGCCGTTTAGAGATCAACCAGATTGCGTCATGTTATCCTTTCGCTCGGTAACGCAGTTCGGTACCGTGACTCGCTACTGCTCGATATCGCGGCTCGATACCGCTGATGTGACGCATTCTGATTGATCTCCATATAGCATTCTGCGTCCGGCCTCTACACAAAATAATTTCTCCGATTACAACCATGCTTGGTCGAACTCTTGGTGATTGTTTTTGCTGGACTTTTAAGTCCTTCAACATTTATGTGCTTGAACAATCAGATGTGATGACTACCTTCTTAGTCTATTGTAGACTTGCAGTACCGTAGAGATTAAGGAACAACCATCTCCACAACAAAGAAGTGCCAACCGCTCTATGGAAGCCACCTAAGCCATCGCCATTATTTAGGGAAAGCAAATTAATGCTGTATAATAATTGTATCTTCTACAACTATGTATAGAAGGATGTATTACTATACAAATGAATTAATAAAAATAGGACACTTCTTTTGTTTTATTTAAATGTATTCCTTCTTAGTCTTCTACCTCTTGGTTCTTTTATTACCATCAATTTCTATGATAGTTGTAATATATTCAAAATATCATAGCACTTGGCTTAATCGTATCGCTTATCTTTTTGACAGATCTGAACTCTTTTTCGAATGGGCTAATCCGAACATTAATCCATGATCAAACACTCAATTCTCAGGTGACAGACACCACTCATCATGGATACCTCAAATCCTAAACCCTTAACAATAAATGAATTTGATGAATTTCTGGATGGATTGAGATCATGTCTAACCAAAATGCAAGGCAAACTCAATGTCCAAATCCTTCCCAACTCCTCTTATGATATTGGATTCTTATAGACCAAAATCTCATTGTTGCCCTTTACTATAACATAACATCCCATTCTCGCCTCTATCTCGAATCTTACCACTTGCATGGAAATTTGGAACACCATCCAAAAACTTCACCAGTCTTTCAATTGGAAATTATTATGTGCAGAGTCTAGACGGAAAGAACCGTTTGGATTGTTGCGTATTTTGTGAGTATTTACTGTCTATTTTTAAATATGCAATAAATACTCACAAAATACGTAGCAAATCAGCAAATACTCACAAAATACTCAGCAAATGCTCACAATATACCCAATAATACTCACAACTGCGTATTTTGTGAGTATTTGTTGCGACGGTTCACCCGTTCGGACTCCGCACAGAATAATTTCCCCTTCCAACCATGCTAGGTTCATCCAACTGAAAAAATAATCTTTTTCTCCTTGAAGAAATAAACCATGAACAAATATCTCTATGAAGTTAAGGTTTTCATGGACAACATCACAATCATCATTGGCAACGAAGAAATCATCCTCTACATCATAAAATTGTCTACTATCCCTCCTATCAAGCTTTCAAAATGAACATTCACACTAAACTTAACCAAGTAAACCACGATGAATATGCTTTGTATCATGCATTAAGGAGTTTCACCTTTAAGACTGTTGGCACCAAACAAGAGAATTAAGATGACCCATCACTCTACATGAACTATATGCAAAGTAATGGCATTAGCTTTTAAGGGCATTAAGGTATCGTTTGGGACGACTTTCTTATGCTTCATAAAGCGGACTTTTAGTATAAAAATTGATATGAGCTATATATATATATATATATATATATATATTTGTGTTGTAAGGTGGCGGAACAGAACAAATCAAGATCTTTATTTAGAGAAATATCTGATTTATTTTCAGTTAACCAACATGAGAGCTTCCTAATTTTCTTCACTATAAATTACTTGACTCATACACAATTTATTTTTTTCTTTCTATTTATCCACAAAAGTATATAATATAGATTCTTCTATGATAGTCCCCTACAATAAACATTCACATGATGGAAATTTGAGAAATGTTAGGTCTGTACAAAAAATTAAAACAAAATTATAGAAAATGTAATAGCCCAAACTCTTAACTATTGAGGTCCGCTTTGGCTTAAGGGCCTCACGATTTTGTCATGTTGGTGTAACTTTCTAGGAGGTCACCCATCACAATATCTCTTTGAGATGATCACATGTAAATGTGAAGCTTCTTAATGAAATTCTGACCATTACACAAAAATGTGCCTCGATTTTTAAGAGTTTAACTTCATTTTACTTAAGGGATTTCTCAATCTCCTCCACTTAAGTAATTGACGTCCTCATCAATATATTTTTCACTGAATTATCCATCAGACAGATAGGGTTTTAGAGGTAGCCCCTATGTTTTAAAAGAAAAGAATAAGAAGAAAAAAAAGAAGAAGTAAATTTTGTAAACAATTATGGATGAAATTATCTTGATAAATAGAATTGTCACTCAGGGCCTATTTAGTTACAGGATTTAGGCTTGGTTTGAGATACCTTTTTCATTGCTCTGCTTTTCAGATCTCAATCATAATTTTTATTTGATAACTATTTTTTATTATATTGAAAAAAAGAAAATTAGAAAGTTGCTTTCTATTAGGGCTGCAAACGAACTGAGCTGAGCCGAGTATGTGATTGTTCATGTTTGAGTTTGTTTGTCATTAGCTTGTTCAAGTTCGGTTCGTGTTTGATTTGAGCTTTATTGTTTGTGTTCATGTTTGATTTGAGCTTTATTGTTTGTGTTCATGTTTGGTTCGTTTAATTCAAAGGTGTTAATGTTTGGTTCATATTCGATTCGTTTAATGCTTATCGAGTTTTAAAAAACAAGCCTTAACGAGCTATGTTCATAAACATATTTAACAAACAAACATTAAATTTGTTCATGAACATCTTAAACAAACAATCTAACAAATATGAACAAATGTGAAATATCTTTTGTTCAGAAAATTAAATTTATAATAAAAGTAGTTATCTATTTAAAATGAAAATATGATTAATCCATATAAATATATTCTTAAATGAAGTTTACCTATTGCATTTCTCTCCATTCGAGCTTTTTATTGAGCTTAATGTCGAGCTTGTTCACGAACTTCAAATGATGTTGTTCATGAACATAAATGAACCGAACACATTAGTGTTCAAGCTTGTTTATTTAATGATCGAGCATTTAAAATGTTGTTCAAGTTTGTTTGTTTAGTTAGTTAAACGATCACAAACGAGCTTTAATCGAACCGAGCATCGAGCAGCTCGCCGAACGCTCGGTTCGCTTGCAGCCCTACTTTCTATAAGAGTTTTAAAAAGTTATTTTATCTATAACAATTTTACAATATAGTAAAAAAGTTGTCCCAAACGAAACCTTAGGCTGGATATTTCAGAATTTGAGCTAAATCTAGTCAAATGCTTGAAATCTCACAGTAAGTCTAAGCGGTACTTCACAGTGTTTTCCCCATTTTCACGTAAATCCCGGATTTTATCAAATATGGCAATTTGGCAGATTTAATAAAACCAATAGGATTTAGGAGAAGAAGCACACCAAAAACTAATAGACCATTAGCTTCGCGGAGGCTCTTGTTGAGCTTCTGATCCGACGTCGTCGAAGGAGGCAAAAAAGCTTTGCGACTCTTTTAAAATGCTACTTCATGCAAAGCATGTAAAGCTGAAGTAGCAACGAAGAAATGGCGACAAGGAAAAGCAAACCAGCTAGACAATGATCAAATAGAAGAGAAATTATAGAACTAGATAGGCAATGGCAGAGAAGAACATCGTTCCTATCCAAACTTCATTTTTGCTCCAAATGCTTAATTTTTTATTTTGAATGTTAAATGGATTCATATGTTTATTAATTTAATATTTATTAATTACTAGTTAATTATGATGTTTAATATAGAATAAGTATGATTTTATTAATCTTTTTAAAACTTGTAAAATTTTTAAAATTAGAAATTTAATATTCACTCATGTAAATTAGATGCAAATAAATTAATCTAACAGTTTTTGTTTCTTTTTTAAATCTTTAATTAATCTACTTGTTGCGTCCAGGGTTCGTGTTTCCGAGACGCTTAGTTTGACTGTAAGCTTGCTGAAATCGGAGTTCATATGCTCTTGAAATTAATTTTTGAAGCTTCCAACTAGTTTTTGCCTCGAGATTCGTGCCCGATCAAGATGATTTTGCGATGCCGTATCACTACTTATGATTAATAAAAAAAATTTTGAATTAACATTTGTATTTTATTAGTTTAATATTTTACTAATCAATAATTATTTAGGATATTAACATATGCTAATTATAATTTAGAATGATTTGCTTCATTTCATTATAATTATATAAAATGTATTAATGTCACTATTAATAATTATTTTTAAAATCTTATTTTAGCTAACATATTTTAATTTTTGAAAGAAGTATTCGAATAGTACATCAATATTTAATTAGACTTATGCTTCATTTGGGACAACTTATTTACTGCTTATTGAAATAACTTTCTTGTATAAAAAATAATTTTTTTTTATTAGAAAGATGTTTTAAGAAGCACTAAGAAAATAGTTCAAACGTTTGTGAAGCTTTCTTATTGATTGTTAAAATAGTTTTCTAGTACAAAAATTAAAATTTTGTATTAAAAAGCTGTTTTAAGAAGTAATAAGAAAACAGTCACAAAAGAAACCTTAGCCTCTACAATGACAAACAATTTTCAGAATTTAACATCCCCAGGATTTAGTAAATCCATATTTACAGGATTTGCTAAATCCTGCTTGAGTTAAATCTTATATGTATCCAAATAGGCCCTTAAGATGAAGACTGAGGACGTAGCTTGAATTTGACGCATTTAACTACCCTCACGCTCAACATATAAATCACAAACAAAAGTGAATCATCCAAAAACCATTCATTTTTAGGGCACATTATTAGGTCCGGTCACCGGACGTAGAGATACGGACAATAATAAAATATTGACATGTGGAATGTACACGTGTCCGCGGAATTTTAAGTCAAATGCGTCAAAAGCGCAGTCAAAGAGCATGTAAAGTGCAGTCAAAGCGTAATACACGTGACAAGTTTTAATTGGATGTCTAGACCTAATAATTTGCCCATTTCTAGAGAGTGAATTCTAGTTATTTATATGTCAAAGAACCAATTCATAAAATCCATTAATATAAACTTATATCACTTTTGACATAAAAAAATATAAAAAAATAAAATAATGTAATAAATCATATAACATAATATAAAAATATTGTATGAGAATTGAGATAAGCTTTATATTAAGCCATACAAACATAATTTATTAATGTTGGTTAATTAGTTGGTAAAGGCTAGCCCTCGACAAGACTACTCAAGAACTTGGTTAGTCTTTGAGAAGTCTAATCATCTAGAGTTTGTTGTGGCCAAGTCAAGCATATTAAGGGTTAACACCAATTTACACGGGCCAACACTTAAGACTTGCACGAAGCCCCGAGGGGATTCGAACTCGGTACCTGATCTATGGCCAGCCAGTTCTCCACCATCAGGCCACCCCGCGGTGGGTTGACAAACTCTTTCATTGAAGCCTCTATATGTTCCTTGGACTGATTCGACATGTTAGACATCTAGAAAAAAGAACCAACCCTTTTATGTCAATAAGTCATCATGCATGTATCTGCTATTTAAAAAAACAAACATATTGTCCACTTGTCCGACAAAAAAATAATGTTAATAAAGATGACAAACATTTTAATAAAAATTAACATTCTATTAATAATTTATATGTCGGCAAAAATTATTTTGATCGAGCACAAATTTTGAGGTATATTTTAGTTGGTAACTTTCAAAATTAAATGCGTGAATATTCAAACTCCAATTTCAGCAAATTTATAGTCAAATTGAACGTAACGATGAGATGAACCCAACAATGTCAAAATCGGTCTAATTCAAACCCATATGAATTCAAATCATGGGGGCCAAAGCATATTTTGGAAGCTTTAATGTATCAAATCTACTGCCGCCTGTCAACTATGATCCCTCTGACCTCAGCCGCTCGTTGAATATAATCCCTCCGGCCATCGTCGCTCGTCAACTACAATCCCTTCGACTATCGTCACCCGTTGATCACTACAGTCCCTCCCACCTTTATCGTCGGAAAATGGTACCCTCTATCTCAGTCAACCAACTATGGCCCCTCCAACCTCCGTCGTTCGACTATGACCCCTCCAGCCTCCATCGTCGGACTACGGTCACAACTCTCATGTCGTTGGATTCTTCACTCCCATCATGTAATGTACTCTATATGATGTATATTTGCTATGTTGAGCTAATGACTTCCCTTGAGGAAATGCATCATTTGTAATCCACTAAAAACACTAGTATAATCATTTTAACTCGGCGAAACCCCTTGGTTTTTCCCCTTTTCAGGATTTATTACATAAAAATTTTGGTATCGCTTATAACTCTTGAACAAATTTCTCTTATATGTCTATGTATTAGATCTTCATACAAAGATATGATGTTAAATCATATATTTCTGTGCCGCCGTGAATGTTTTGACACACAAAAATAAATTATAAGAAAAGTACCCTCAAAACATAAGGGAAAATTCTAGTATTAGCCGTTAAAACTGAACATAAAGTTAAGTGTTGTGAAAATAAGGATGCTCAGGTAGGGGTGGAGTCAAAATTTTTTTAGTATGGGGGCACAGATTAATATTAATTATTAAATTATTCTCAAATATATAAAATTTACTTAGTGTAAGAGACATATTTTTAATGAAAAATTATAAAAGTATAATCATATACATTTCCATTAAAAAAGAATATAAATATCACTCTATATCTTATTATTTATTAAAAAATTAATATTATTTTTATTATTTAATTGAGTTCAAATATATATTTTTTATACTTAAAGGTTATTTTATTTGAAATAATTAAATTAGTTCTTAATTTTGAATTATATTTAGATTAAATAAATTAGTAAAAGATCATAATCTACCAAATTTTAAATTGCAAACTCCTTAAGAGTATTAGCAAGAATGGTACAGTTATCCACAGTTGCCTCACCAAAATTGAGCACATCATCAGCATAGAGAAGGTGAGAAAGTTGAAAGTTATCAACATTAAAGCCTTTAAAACCACTAGCATCAAGTATATTAGAAAAAGCATCCATCACAATACAGAACAAGTAAGGACTTAGGGGGCAACCTTGCCTCAAGCCAGAAGAAGAAGGGAAAAACCCCTCCAAAGCCCCGTCAATGATAACAGAAAAATTCACATTTGAAATACAAGCTTTAACCCATCTAATAAAAGACTTAGGGAAACCTTTTTGGATCAAACGGGCTAGAAGAAATTCCCTGGACGAAATTTGAGAACAATTAACAGAGTAGATGTATTAAATTTGTTATATATATATATATATATATATATATATAATAAATAGATCTTAAACGGATTGCTTATAAAGTATTATAAATAAATTTTTTATTAAATTTAAAAAAAATGACTCTTAAAAGACATTGAAGAAAAAGATTCATGTAGCACATAAAGATTTGATATTATTGTTGTATTAATAATTATTAAGATTTTTTTAATTAAGATGGTATATTAATTCTCATATATAAAATAAAAGTGGTCTCCTACTCGCCTTGCCCATCAATAGGTGTCAGCGGTCGCCGGTCCTTACTAGTTACTCCTTAGTCCTTACGCTCCATTTCGTGGAAAGCCCGTGTGAAGACAAACGTAGCGCTTCGTTATCAGATCGCCAACACGACCCTCTTGCTCATTCCACTCGAGAAGGATTTGTACTATTTTAGGTGAACGGAAATCTATCTGCCGAGCATGAATTCTCTCTGGTTACACAATAATTTCTCCTGGTTTTGAGGCTCACTAGGCGGAGGAATATTCCGCAGTTCGCAGGTAATATATTTGAAAAAAAGCAAAACAGTTTTTTTTTTTCACTCGATTTTATTAAATCCAACAAGCGTGGGCGTTGGATTTGTTCTTATGACTGTATATTTTAAGAAGAAGATATCGTGTACAAATTCTGCAATAAAAAATTGTTTTTGGGAGGTTTTCAGGCGGGGTTGTGAAAACGAAGTTTATTTTAGTTTGCATTATGTGTTAGGGTTATCCAAACTTGGGACGACGGTCTTTCTTCAATGCCTGGGGTTGGGGTCGATCGAGAGGTGAGTTCTCAGTAAGTTGTTTTCATTTTTTAAGAGTTTCAGATTTACCTCTTTCATGGAAGGAATCAAGTAGATAGCTCTGAAAACCCTGAAATAGAATTGAATTGTTGTGTAGTCCTATATGTCAGAAGTATTAATTATTCCGAAACCCCTCAGCAACAGTCGAATTGTGGCTTTTAATTGGATTTTCTTATAGTAATTTTGTGGCAAAGTAACATGTGTGTAAACTGATGCTTTTTGAGTAATTTTTTATGATCTTCTGTGAATTAGCTGTGCAAAATTGAGATTTGTAGATTTCATTAAGCTTGCTCTTGAACTGAATTCGAAATATGACTTTCCTTGAAGTTTCAATAGGTTTGTCTTTAGGTCGTTCTTTTTCTTGTAATTTCGAACCTGAATGAACTATTGTTCATCTTTCTCTAGATATACTACGAAACCCTAGTTCCATTTGAATAGTCATTTCATGACCTTTGTTATTTCATTACTGTATGAGTTAACTTTTCGGGTGTTCCCTCAACACTTTATTTTAGCTTTCTTCTCAGTCATAAAATTTGGACTTATTCACTCTCTCCTCTTTTTGCAAAAGATATTTTTTAAGATTTTCTTCATATTTTCATGTGCAGAATAAAGAGCTGATCGTTTTTGGGTGAAGCTATGAAGTGCTTCAATATAACTATTGCAAAAAAGAAAGAAGACATTCATTGCACAATATCTTCATCAATTAGATCTTTTAGCACAAACTCGACTGATCGTGATGTCAAGAGATCAGGGTCTGAGATCAACTCATTAGCCACTTCTGACACGAGTGCTGATTCTGTAAGGAGGTCTCGGTTGCAGAGTTTCTCTCAGAGAGCAAGCAATCTGCGAGTATTTTCTGTTACTGAATTGAAGATTGCTACAAAAAGTTTTAGTCGTTCAGTAATGATTGGAGAAGGTGGATTTGGATGTGTTTATAGGGGAACAATTAGGAGCTCTGATGACCCAAATTCTAAGATTGAAATTGCAGTAAAACAACTAGGCCGTAGAGGGTTACAGGTGAGTTTATTTAAGCATGAAGTTTTGTAAATATTTATTTTCAACCTTATTTTTTATGAAATATAAAAATATATATGACGGTAGGGTATTAGAGTTTTCTCTAGATTAGCGATAATATAGATTTTATTTTTTAGTGAACCCGCACCTACATTTACTTGCAAAACAAGAACAATATTCTTTTCGTTTTATTAGCCAAATGGATGGGTCTCCTATTTTATAATATTTTGGCTTAAATGTTTGATTAGGCTTTATTTAGAGTAAAATTGGAAAAATATATTTGCAATTCCCCTTCTTTTCTCTATCCCTTTTCTCTCACTTCATTATGAAATTGTTTTAATCATTAGGGATGTTGAAACTTGTTTCTAATGCACTACTTACAAGAGGAGTAACCTTTTTAGCATGTGAAGTGCTTCTGCTTGGTGCTATGAAAAATATTTTATGATTCATATTGTATCGTAGGATTCAATTTGTGTAATGCATGTTAGAATTTTCATTTCCTTGTCATTACTTCCATTATCCAGTTGCCCATCTTTAATTATTTCTATGTTAAAGGACATGATACGGGCCCAGATTTTTAGTAAATCTTAAATGGTAGTTATCTATAAGGCAAGCAATTGGGAGAGTTAAAATTTGCAAAAGGACTATCATCCAAGAGATGGATGGGGAATATGAGGAAGAAAAGTGGATGATATTAAGGATTGTAAGTTGTTGAAGGCTTTCCTTTGGTGTCATATCTTCTCTATCCTTGTTGGGTTGTTGATATATGAATTAAAAATAAGGATTTTTCCTATTTTCTGATTGTTCATATATAGGTAACTTTGCTTGAAAATAATATCACATAGTGCATAGTAGGCACTTATTATGTACTTCAAATTAATTCATGATGCAAGTGAGATGCCTATTCTAAGCTTTAGCATGAACCTTAGACTACTCATTTCTCTTTTATGCTCTTGCATCTTATTCCTTATTCTATTATACATTATTATAGCTACTTTAAGCAGAGAATACATGAGGTTTTGCTTCGCAAAAGCTTCTATATTGAATTTTAAGTACTTTCCATATAATATTTTTTTTAAGAGGATTTAGATATATACCACATAATTCTTATTTATTTGGTTATCTAACATTTAAATTTTTATATTTAACTATATATCATTCTAAACTCTAAATCACATCTAATATACCACCAAAGTGAAATACACATTTTCATGCATATGTTTTGATATGATTTAAACACTAGGGTATAATTTAAAATAAATGTAATGATTTAAATGTTAGATATGCAAATATATTATAATTTTGTGGTAAGTATGTAAATCCCCATTTTTATATTGTGTGGTAAACACAAAATGGAAATCCCTACCACCTTGCACACCCAATATAGATTTCATGCCTATGGAGAATGCATTGGTGGAGTTGTTATCCCACATCCTTGATTGTAAGTTTGATTTATTCCGTATAATATGCAAAAAAAATTATAATAGAGCCTAAGAAGGAAGTTTAAGGATGGCTTTAGAAGTCCAGTTTAAACCTTAAACAATAGATTTTTTAATATCCAACTTACTTATCAAATAAAGATCTCGACTCTATTGGAAGAGTGATTCAAATGTCTAGTTGTTAAGGGTCCTTTTTATTTCTAATTTTCTTGTTTCTAAACATAGTAACCTGTTGATGGATGGGACTTAGACATTGACTCAAACCTACATAATAAGAAAGGGGGAGGAAAACCTACTAGTTTCTTGATCACTAAGGCTTAGTGGGACATAGTATCACAACCCAACCTGATAAGACCCTCAGATAGAATAGGTTTTTTCATGTTAACTTGGAACAAGCGAACTCCAAGATATAGTTTTAAAAATATTCAGAATTTTCTTCCAAATATAAATTTTAAAATAAATAATAAACCACAAAACTACTAATAGCATTCAATATACTGAACATAAACTCATCCATAAAATCTCTTTTCTTCTTATCATCAAAATGTATATATAGTGATTACACTACAGTGCATGGCTATAAATCAGAATACAGAGCAAAACATAAAATGACTAGCCATGTCTGCACACAATCAAAAGGGAAAATACCTACATGGACTCATATTATATCCTAAAACTACTACTCAAGGGAAACTCATAAGTGAAATATCTGTGAGCTAACACAGCTCAGTAGGCCACATTTATATGGATTTGAATTTCCAAATAATCTATATATTAAAATATGCAACTAAAATTTTTAAGTTATTTCATAATAATCAATGCACTATACAAAATCTTACTTATAGTTATAAAAAAACTTAATATATTGCAGATAAATAAATAAACAAGCACTTCTTATCTCATAATATTTCTCAGAACAACAAGTCATAGAATTTGTCCTTATAACTCCTCATGCCCATCACCAAAATAAAATATGTTTATAGAACATGCCCGCAGACACCAGAACATGCCCGCAGACACCAGAACATGCCCACAAGCACCATAATATGTCCGCAGACATCAGAACATGCCCATAGACACCATAACATCATATTTTTCCACCAAAATATAATTGGCTCCTCCCATACCAAACCTCCTAAGAACTTCTCATTTCAAATAATAAAGTACATAAATTATTACATTATAGTAACTAAACAATAAATAATTTATTCCAGAATTTCACAAAATGCTATATAACAATAGACAACGAAAATCATACTAAGCATAAATGCTTTATTTTAGAATTTAACCACATTACCAGGGATTATACATAACATTGTTTGAAAACTTTCATTATACTACAACCATATTTTTTGAGTTCAGAATTATTTTTCTCGGCACTTAAAGTAGTACACTTTTTAAAATATATGGTGTAAAATTTTAAAAAAAATCACTAATTGTTCAGAATTATGTCTCTACAACATACAAAAAGTTACATGGTGAAAGTTTTGTTGGTGTAAAGTTATCCTCATTTTTCGATCACGGAAATATAAATTTAATTAAAAAAATAGAAATTGTCATATTTTTGACAATTAAGATAGGTTAAATATCACCTACCTCGAATCAGATAACTTTTAAAACTAGGTCATTAATTAAAAATGACCAAAATCAACTCAAAATAAACTTTCTCTCACTAGAATCCCTCTCTATATCTCTCTAAGCCGGCTTCCCAAAGAAATAAATCAAATGAAATGGTGGATGTGGATATTTTATTAAAAAAAATTGCATCGGCGCCACGGTGATACACGATGTTGGCCATGACCCTCCCTTCAGGAACCTGCAGTGTCGTTGTGCCCGCCTTGGTCAGAGTGCATAATTGATTGTCAGAAATCTGAGAGCACTTCCGCTGGGGTGCTTTCAACTCCAACGCTACAGTGCCCCAAAGGGTAAATTTTAGATTGCACAAACATGTAATTGGATCCCTGTAACCCGCTCTAGAACACATGCGGACTTTCATATGCGGACAGAACATTTCCAAACACATGTACAAGCTTTCAAAATGCATAAATTTAACTAATTACCTTGGATCTGACCAGGTCAGAATGGGTTGAACTTTACACTTAATCTAGAGGTGTTACATATAGGTGGTGGACTCTCCACTCAGACAACCACTAGGGAGTGAGGCTCAGTGTTAACATAGTTAATAAGCCCTAGGAATCAAGTCAACTTTTGAATGGAAGAGACTTGAAGTAAATATTGCAATATAAAAGGAACAAAACGACTCCTAATTTTGTTCCTTTCTTGTCTTCATACATAGTATTGAATTTTTTTTTTAATTTTTATTTTTATTTTATTTTTTTATTTTTTTATAATGGTTGTATAGGTTATTATAGAGGAATGAAGTTAATGTGTCATACATTAAAATTATGGGAGAGAATGATTGAGCATAGGTTATGATGTGATACTAATATTTCTCAAAATCAATTTGGATTCATGTCAGGTAGGTCTATTATGGAAGCTATACATTTATTAAGAGGGTTGATGGAGAAGTATAGATAGAATAATAAAGATCTACATATGATATTTATTGATTTAGAGAAAGCATATGATAATAAGGATATATATGTAGGAGCTATTATTTGTGTTCAAACACAAGGTAGTTTGACCAAGTATTTTTCTATTTTAGCTGAATTATATCAAGGATTTGTTTTAAGCCCATATCTTTTTGCTTTAGTCGTAGATGTTCTTATTAGAAATTTGCAAGAGGATGTACCCTAGTGTATGCTTTTTGCTTATGATATTCTTCTTGTGATAAGACTAGAGAGGGAGTTGAAGGAATACTTGAATTATGGAGTCAACCTTAGAGTCTAAAGGTTTTCGTTTTGAGTAGATCTAAAACGAAATATATAGAGTGTAATTTTAATAGTAATAAATCTAGTGGGGGGATTGTGGCTTTGAATGATTAAATCATTAAAAAGAGTATATATTTTAGATATATTGAGTCTATTATTCAAAATGATAGTGAAATATATGGAGATATTATTAGTAGAATTCAAGTTGGATGGTTGAAGTGGAGGAATGCATCGGGTCTATTGTGTAATAAAAGTACCTCTCAAACATAAGAGAAAATTTTAGAAGATGGTAGTGATGCTTGCAATGCTTTATGGTGCAAAATGTTGGCCATTAAAAGATAAGTATAAAATTAAGTTAAGTGTTGCAAAGATGAGGATGCTCAGGTGGATGAGTGGCTTTACTCTTAGAGATAGAATGCGAAATGAGTATATACATGAAAAGGTTGGAGTAAGTCCAGTGGCAGATAAGATTAGAAATAGTCGTCATAGATGGCTCTATCATATTTTAAGAAAGGTAGAGGTAGAGACCTAAAAAGATATGTTTAGAAAGTATTAGACATGACCTTTCTTTGTTAGATTGATATGAGAATTTGACTCTTAATAGGACAACACAATGTAGAAAAAAATGATTCATGTAGCCAACCCTACATAGTGGGAGATAAATGTTTGATATTGTTGTTGTGTAATGATTAAAGATTGTAGCGTGTAGGTACTTAGAGAGTGGTCAGCACTGATTTGAAGATTTCTGAGCTGGCTATAGTTTCTTCAAAGCTGAAGGTTGTTTAAGCTGGTCAATTAAATGATGACTAAGTGCTGGTAAGTGGATAAAAATTTGAATTATTTGTTGCGAGACAATTTCACTCACCAGTTTAGAATGTTAGACAAGAACGACAATTGTATAAGAAGCCCATCAAAATGTTATATTTTTGAACAAAATTAGTTATAATTGTATAACCTAATGGTTACATCATTCCAAGGGTAGCAGTAGTTATAATTGTATAGCCTAAGGGTTACTATACCAATGGTATACTTCTAGCAGCCCTTCTCTCTTTAATGCATGTTTATACAACACATAAATGAGCTAAAATATATATATATATCTTTTCTTATGTTTTTCCAGACCAGATGATGTCTGAGTTATTCGTTACGAGACTTTTTCACTCACGAGCTTGGGATGTTAAGCAGTAATGATACATATAAGAAGCCCATAAAAAAGTTATAATTTTGAATATCATTTAGTTATAATTGTATAGCCTAAGGCTTACAAAATTCCAAACGTATAATTCTGACAGCTCAATAATACATGTTCATGCATCATAAATGATCTAAAAAAATATTTTTCTATTTTATTTTTTCACTCTATGTTGGTGGACACGCTATTGTGCTCATTATCAAATATGTTGTTTTTTTTTTGTTCTAGAGATGGCATTTGTAATGTTGGGATCCTCCTACAAACTTTCTCTGGCTTTTATGACCCGACCTCTACATTTCTAACGTCTTAGTCCTGTATGACTATCTCCTCTTGTAATTCTCTACAATTTCTTGAAGAGCACCTATTGTGATTCTTTGTATGGTCATGTTGATGATTTTTGTGACTCTTTGTGGTGATATATTAGGTGGAGTTTTGTCTTTTATCAGATTTTTTTTTCACCTGCAATTGCTATTATACTCTGCATCTCTAGTTTTAATATCTATGACTTGCAATTTTTTTCAATGGGATTTGGCGCTATACCTATGATATCTACAATCCTCATTTGATGCCAGGATTTCCTTATTTTTTAGTAAGACTTGCAGATGATTCTTTTGGGCTATTTTGATTGATTCATAGGAAACTCTATTGAGATTTCTTGTTATAAATAGAGGTCTCAGGCTTGCACAAAGTTTTGTTAATTTTTCTCTTAAAAGTTTTAGTTTATTATGTTATTCTTTATTTTTGGCAATGAACTCCTTTATCAAATGAGAGATTTTGAGATTTTTGATAGTTCTTATCTCCTTATACAAGAATGAGACCTGTTCTTTTGCTTTTTGATGAATTATTTCATTAGACTTTTCTCTTATTTTAAATTATTTTATTGGATTGATCTTGTGATAATTTTTTATGAATTATTTTATTAGACTTTTCTCTTATTTTAAATTCGATACCATTCAATTTTAGACAAATACATGGATTTTGCTTGGTTGTTTTTCTTGATGCTTATTATCCATTGATTGTTTCTAGCATAAGGCAATTAAATCTCCATCTCTATTGATTTCATTTGTATTTTTTATTTTCATTTAAAGTAGCAAATCTATACTATTATTTAAATAGTGGTATTAGATTCTACCAATGAAAGATTATTTTAAAAATGATCATAAGTTTTTATATGTTGTTAAGAGCAATCCCAGATTTAAACATTAAATTCTCACATTTGATTCATTAAGCTTAAATTATATAGGTTGCGTAGAATTCTGAAAGTTATAATTCTATTACAAAGTTACTTTAATGAATGCATTATGAATAGATCATGTATGTATAAAATATACAAAAAGTCATGACAATATCAAGAGTTAATCACAATTTTGAATAATGATCCTTGAATAATTTTATCTTAACTCTTCATTTCAAGTTTTATTGTACCTAAAAATCCCTATGGAGCCTATACATATATATATTGGAATGTTAACCCAAGCTATTTGAGCATGAAAACCCTTCAACTTTATTTTTATTTATTTATTTATTTTTTCTGTTTATTTTTCAACCTTAACTACAAAATCTCTTATGCATTCCGATATGTTTAGACTTAATTCATTACTTTTCTATTACATTTGCAATTTTCTGAATATTTTTATTTGATTTTATTCAATAATAAAGTTTTAAAATTTAAATTTCAAAATAATGATTATTTTAGCTTTTGTAAACTAACATTTTAAATCCTATCAATGCACACTTGGTACATCTGCAAATTTCTTTTTTTATTTTTATTTTTTTTTTATTATAGTGAAAGTTTTAATTTAAGAGTTCGTGACCTCTGAGGTATGTGTGCTTATTGCATAAATTTTTGCATCTCATAATAGATCTAGATTAGAAGCCTTCAATCTTAAGACATCCTACAATAAATTTGATATCAGAGTTTAATGTTGTATGATAATATATCTTAGACATAGGACATAAAAATTGAGATAGCTGAAAAAATAGACAGCATGATGAAATTTAAATTAAATTAGTTTAACTATGATTCTTAATAATCTCAACATGACTAGTAAAAACTTAAAAAATAAATTATTATATTTAATTGGAGCCATCTTGAGATACTTTCAAATTGGCTAGACAACTTAGAGGAATTCTTTGAATGATGAATATGTTTAATTTAGTAAAAGCTTGAGAAAGTGACTATATTTAGTTTGATTATAACTTATAGGGGCACAAAGAATGGCTGACAGAAGTAACTTTTCTCGGTGTTGTTGATCATCCAAATCTTGTTAAGTTAATAGGCTATTGCGCTGAAGAAGATGAAAGGGGATCTCAGAGGCTTCTAATTTATGAGTACATGCCTAATGGAAGTGTTGGGGATCATCTGTTTGCTCGATCAACTGCACCTCTTTCCTGGCCTATGAGGTTAAGGATAGCTCTTGATGCTGCTCGTGGCCTGTCCTATCTTCACGAAGGAATGGACTTCCAGGTGCGTTTTTAAATCATGTAGTTTGGATGAGGAGTAGATGAAAAACAAGATTCATAAAGCAAACACCAAATAATTGGGATGAGCTTATAAAGATTTTTTTTCTTGGAACTTTTCCATTTTTTCCGCTCAAACTTGATTTATGAGGTATATCCTCGTTTATATTCCCAATCTTCTTTGTATATATCCAAGATGCTTAAACCTATCAAACTCACATATCATGTATTGATATTTAAACAATATTGGCAATATTTATCAATAACTCCCACTAAAATCACATTCATGTACTCTATTTCTTCTTATCCCAAGCTACTTATATTTTGAAAAAAAACTTTCCATTATTTTAAGAAAATTTCACTTTTTTTTTCTTTCCAACTAAGATCTCATCTATGATGGTTATGTTATCATGGATAGTATAGCAATGTGTCTAAATTTGAATGTGTTATGTTGGCTCACCCTTACCTAATATTAAAAATATTTAAAAACGTCTGACCACTTGATATATTAATGCTGTGATTGAAAATTTATTGATTTTTCCACAGCCATTTCAAATGCTAGTAATTAGTCAATGCTCTGACATTTATATATTTAATAACATCAATATATATTTGATATACTTATTTTTTCTTGATGCATATTAAAAGAATAATCATTATATTCAATCACATACCTTCTCAAGATTAATAAAGGAGACGTGATATTTTATAATTTGCATTGGCAGAAAAATATTTTCATAGTGGGTCTTCTTGGCATAAAATCAAATTAACTTTTTGATAACTATGTGATTTTTCTGACCTTTTGTTTCAAAACTCTCTCTATATCTTCATTATATAAATTTGATTTATATAATTAGTTAATAACAACTACGGATTGAGTCTTTTGGTTTATTAATGAAAATAGGTAATATTGATCTCTTATGCAAGGTGTAGAGCCCTCAAACCTCAAAAGATTCCAAGAGAAAATCAAATCTAAGCATACCCCTCCCTTTCCCCTACCTCTCCTATTTATAAGCTCTCCACCGCCCACCCATTTCCTAAAAAAACAATATTCAAATAAATTTAAATCTAAGCGGTCCCACATATAGGCGGCAAGCTCAAATAGGTAGGAGGGAGGCGATTTTGAATCGCCTCCTGTAGTAAATTGCCGGCCTAGGTGGGGCCGGCTGAGGCGGTTCTCTCTGAATCGCCTTAAGAGGCGGTTCCACAGGAACCGCCATATCAATACCGCCTTTCCAAATAATCACCTTGTTCTCAAGGTGAAAACTAGGAAACTGCTGTTTCACCCTCTCGTACGGCTCCCACGTGGCATCGTAGTCCGACAGATTCTTCCACTTGATTAGCACTTCTTTCACTCCCTCTTTTTTCTGATAAACCCCCAGCAACTCTAAGGGTTCCATAATCACCTCTAAATCCTCCGTAAGTGTGGCCGGTAACTTTGAGCTGGCTGTATAATCTCTAATAGCTCTTCTCAACTGTGACACATGAAAAATTGGATGAATAGTCGCCATGAGTGGTAGTCTCAGCCGATGTGCCACTGCTCTGACTTTTTTGTCAATATTTCATAAGGTCCAAAGTATCTTGGAGCGAGCTTTTCATTTCTCCTCTTGGCTACTGTCTTCTGCCGGTATGGTCGGAGCTTTAAGAACACTTTCTCTCATGCTTCGAACTGGATGTCATTCCTATGCCCATTAGCATGTTTCTTCATAATCTGTTGAGCTCTCAGTAGATGTTTCTTCAATTCCTCTAACACTCGATCCCTCTCCTCCAAGTACTCTTCAACTGAAGAAATTGGAGTACTGCTACTCCCAAAGTGCACCAAGTGAGGGAGGTCTCTTCCGTACAACACATTGAATGGAGTCATTTGTGAAGCTGAGTGAAAAGAGGTGTTGTACCAGTACTCTACCCACAACAACCACTTGGCCCAAAGTTTGGGTGTCTCCGACACAAAACATCTCAAATAAGTCTCCAAGCTCCTATGGACCACCTCCATTTGACCATCTGTCTGTGGGTGCTAAGTGGCGCTCCTCTTTAGAACTGTCCCCTATAACCTGAACAATTCCCTTCAAAAATGACTGAGGAACACCTTATCTCTGTCTAACACGATCGTCTCTGGTACGTCATGCAATCTGACCACCTTTTTAATGAATGTTGAAGCCACTGTCACCGCGGTGTAAGGATGTCGGAGGGGGATGAAATGAGCATACTTGCTCAATCTATCCACCACAAGAAAAAACAAGATCACTGTGAAGTCTTCTGAACGGGGTAGCCCATCTATGAAATCCATAGATATCTCCTCCCATACTCGTCCCGGTAACACCAATGGCTGTAGTAGTCCCCCTGGTGACATGGCCAAATACTTGTTCCTCTGACAGATCTCACAACTTACCACCATCTCCTCTACATCTCTATGCATTCCCTTCCAGTAAAGCTCGGTCGCTAGTCTCTTGTAGGTCTTCTGCACTCCTGAATGGCCCCCAACTGTGCTTCCATAAAATTCCTGGAGTAAATTTGGGATGTGGATTGAGGTACGGGGCATCGCAAATCTTCCCTGGTATAGCAGTCTGTCTCCCTCTAATGAGTACCATGGATGGCTACCCTTCTCTTTCAGCAAATATGACATGATCTTTCACAGCTCTTCATCTCTAGCACTTTCTTCCTTGATAGCCTCCTAGTCAAGCATCAAAGGAACAGATAATGCCACCGTCTGCAGTTCCCCCATACATCTGGACAAAGCGTCCGCCGCTTTGTTCTCCACCCCTGGTCTATACTGAATCTCAAAATCGTACCCTAGCAACTTGGACAATCAACTTTGATGCTCTTCCGTCACCATCCGTTGTTCCAGTAGATATTTCAGGTTTCGCTGATCTGTCCTGACAATGAAATGTCTCCCAAGCAGGTAGGTCTGCCACTTCTGGATGGCCAAGACGTTGGCCATTAATTCCCTCTCGTAAACTGGTTTCAGTCGGGCTCTAGCAGTCAATATCTGGCTGAAATAGGCAATGGGTCTGCGACTCTGCATCAGTACTGCACCCAGCCAGTTCCCTGAAGCATCTGTCTCCACAATAAAGGTTTGAGTGAAATCTGGCAAGGCTAGGACCGACATCGTAGTCATCGCCTTCTTCAAGCTCTCAAATGCTGATGTGGCCGCCTCCCCCCATAGGAACCTATCCTTCTTCAACTGTTCAGTGAGTGGCCATGCTATGGAGCTATACCCCTTCACGAACCTCCTGCAGTAACCCGTCAGTCCTAGGAATCATCTCAATTCCTTCAATTTTTTCGGCATTGGCCACCTTATCATCGCTTCAATTTTGGATTGATCTACTGTAACTCCCTCTTTTGACACCACATGGCCCAAGTACTCTACACTGGCTTGTGCAAAGCAGCATTTCTTCAACTTAGCCCTCAACTGGTGCTCCTGCAGTACCTCTAACACCCTCTTCAAATGCTCTCAATGCTCCACTTCTGTCTTGCTTTAGACCAGGATGTCATCAAAGAATATCAGTACAAATCATCTGAGATAAGGTTTGAAAACCTTATTCATGAGGGCCTGAAAAGTAGCTGAAGCATTGGTAAGGCCAAACGACATCACTAGGAACTCATAATGTCTTTCATGAGTTCTAAAGGCCGTTTTGGGTACAACCTCATTCATTCGGATCTGATGGTAACCCGATTTCAAGTCTATCTTGCTGAAGATCATGATCCCACTCAATTCATCTAGCAGCTCGTCAATGACTGGTATAGGAAACTTGTCATGTACAATTTCCTTGCTGAGTGCTCTGTAGTCCACACAAAAACTCCAGCTGCCATCATTCTTTTTCACCAACAGAACAGGGCTAGAAAAGGGGCGGATGCTGGGTCTGATGATCTCTGCATCCAGCATCTCTCTAATCAACATTTTTTATCTCATCCTTCTGGAACTGAGGGTAGCGATAAGGTCAGACACTGATGGGCGACACTCCCTCCTTCAACACGATGCATGCTCCTGCTCCCTCTATGGTGGCAATCGTTGAGGTGGCTGAAACACTTCTTGGAACTGCTGAATCAACTGCTGAATGGAGAGGGGTATCTCTCCTCCCTCTTCCAATCTTGCTCCCTCCAAACTGTGCAACTCCATTAAATACCCTCCGTCTGCCAACTGGATATCTCTCACCATTGTTTTAAGAGAAACTAGGGATTTGGAAAGCCCCGCGCCCCCCTTAATCACTACCTTCCTTCCGTCCACCATCAACTCCATCGTGAGTGCTCCCCAATTCACTTTGGTGTCACCCAAAGTTTGCAGGCATTTCATCTCCAGGATGACGTTCGTGCTCCCCAACTCTAGTGGAAGGAAGTCCTTCCTCACCTGTATCTCCTTGATCGTCAGTCGTACTTCTTTGCAAATCCCTTGACCTTTCTCTATCTTCCCCGTACCCATCATCACTCCGTAACAACATGTGTCCACCAATCTTATTCCCAGTTGGTCTATGACCTAGTTGGAAATAAAATTGTGGGTAGCCCCACTATCAATTAGCACCACAACCTTCATATCCTCTATCTCTCCCTTCACTTTCATGGTGTGATTCGTAGTGAACCCCACCACTGAGTTTAGGAAAATCTCAGTCAGATCCAAGTGTAGCTTTTCCTCTTCCTCTGTCTCCTCCTCACCTCCCTCCTCAGTTTCCTCGTCATCGTAGACGGTGAGAACCTGAAGAGTTCGGTCCTTGCACCGAAGTCTTGGTGTGTACTTTTCATCCCATCGGAAGCACAACCCCTTAGCCCTCTTCTCCTGCATTTCTTTCTCTGTCAGCCGCTTGAAATTCCCTCCCCCTATTTTTCCTTGGTGTCCTTTTTACTACCTCCTGTTCCGGACCTTTAGGTGCGAGATGAGTGGTCGTCATTCTGTATGTGCCTCCGGTGCTGCTACTCCTTGCTCCCTTCTCCAATTTTTTTTGATTTTTCACCAGTTGGGCTAACCTCATGGCCTCTGCCAAGTCCCGGGGCATCAAGACCTTCACTGCTGCTCGGATCTCCGCCTTCAGCCCTTTCATGAAATTTTCCTCCAACACTGTATCTGGGAGTCGCTCCACCCTGCTAGCTAGGTGCTCAAACTGCTCCTGGTAATCTGCTACCGATCCCTCCTGCGTTAGAGCAAAGAACTGCTCATAGAAGTCTCCTCTCCGATCGGTTTAGAAATACTCTATTATGCAGTCTTTAAATTCCCTCCAGTTCCTGATCGGCCTCCTCTGGTCTCTTCTCTGAAACCACGACAGGGCTTTCCCTTCCAAGCATAATCCGGCTGCAGTTAGCTTCTCCTCCTCCGTCAGTCTATTGACGGCGAAGTATTGCTCCACCTTGTAAATCCACCCATACGCATCTTCTCCTTCGAATATGGGCATCTTCAACTTCCTCACCTTTTGATCCCCCCAATTGCCCCGGATTCTTCCATAGTTTCCCCTCTCCCAAGTGCTAGGTGCACCCCAAGTTTCCCGGTCTTCTCTTGACCTGCCATAGCCCAAACCCCCTTCGAAATCCCCCATTCTTTCTTCAAAATCAGCGCCTTGGCGGTTAGTACCCCTCATGGTGTTCCCCATATCCGCCTCTTCTTTCTCCCCTCTGGACAGACACCAGATGGGGTCTTATTCCCTCTCCTTCCATGATTTCCACCTCATCTTCCTTCCTACGAATTTCGAAATTCGTACCTTTTCCCTCCTTCCCTTTTGTCACTGAAGCCGCCATTTGGTTTTGAATTTCCAGCATTTTTTTCATCATCTCTCGAAGATCAGCGACTTGACCTTCCATTAAAGAGATCCTTTCCTCTACTGTCATTTTGATTTGATTCATCTCCCCTTTGAGTCTTTCCTCCAAGGCATCCACTTTTTTGGCCGCCATCACAATCCGGAGATTGTAGATTTACCAAAAACAGGATTTGGAAAAGAAAAACAGCAACTTCTTCCGATTTGGAGCGAAAAAATGCTGCTGGAATCCGTTGAAATCAGCCCTCCACCGGTCCCGAGATTTGCTATGATACTAATTTGATAGGAAATACCTGAGTTCACAAGTAACCCTAAGGGAATACTTAAGTTCGCAAGCACACCTACCACTAATTGGAAGAAAACAGTGGGAATAAAGCAAAATCTGGGCAAAATCAGCCCCAAAACAATGGATTGCAACAAGAGAAATAAAACAAAACTAATACAAAGCAAGATACAAGTGATCCTCTATTCGAGAGGAGGATCGTTCTCTCCCAATCTCTAGACTTAAAGTCTAGAGCCCTCATACCTCAAAAGATTCCAAGAGAAACTCAAATCTAAGCATACCCCTCCCTTCCCCCTACCTCTCCTATTTATAAGCTCTCCACCGCCCACCCCTTTCCTAAAAAAATAATATTCAAATAAATTTAAATCCAAGGGGTCCCACATATAGGCGGCAAGCTCAAATAGGTAGGAGGGAGGCGGTTTTGAACCGCCTCCTATAGTAAATAGCCGGCCCAGGTGGGGCCGGCTGAGGCGGTTCTCTCTGAACTGCCTTAAGAGGCAGTTCCTGTGGAACCGCCATATCATATTTCTCCTCTAATATTTCTACCTTCTATTCTAAATTTGCTCCAACCGTCACAGATCTAGCTGCTATACTCCTTGAAGTCACTATATAGATTGTAGCAGTTCATTCATCTTTCTCAAACTGTCCTCTAATTCAACTTGAGGGACAAAAACATATTCATTTTCCAATTAGCAACAACAATGTCGTGTTTTCCTCATTCAAGCATTTCTGTTAGAACTTCTGCTTAATAACCATCGACGCATGTGTAGCTCCTTACTGAACTGTGCTGGTGTTTATATGACAAGGCATGTCACAACAAAACAAATGTTACATGTTTTTGGCTGCTTTTTACTTTTGTGCTCCTCTGAATCTGCACTGATATGGTACCTGCTGTGAGCAATGGATTGTACAAGCTGGAACTTGATTTTATCTTCCATGATATCATATGAGGAAAGAGATTTAATAGTATTCTAGTGTGTGACACTTGCATCATTGTGAAAGGGTTGATGTATAGTATTTTACTATTTTATTATGTGGTAGAGTGGCTGTTTCATGAATTGAGACTGTCCTTCAAAGTCGCAATTAGTTTTTTCCTTGAGATAAAAAGCCAAATTATCGGTGTTATATTTTAGGGAAGACAAATATGATGAACTACAAAGTTATCACAAGAGAGATCAAGCGTCATAAAGATGGACATTAAAATTTATATGATTTGGCTCAAAACAAAGTTTGCATCTACAAGAGAGGGCGTATGCTTAATCCACGAAACATAAGCTACAAATGGTGTACAAAATAAGAACACCCCTCACCCCTTTTTAAAACCAAAGTTCACCTAACTATTTTAAAGAAGAAACACAAAAAAAATAATCTAACATATAGTTTTTTCTTACATTGAAACTGGTCACCTCATTAAGAACCGCACTTGAACCCTCAAGAAGAACCACAAGCTTCTCTTATTACCCTAATATTCACAGCGAGGAAGAAATTGAGAGGTCCTTCCGCTCCTTTAGCTGCCAAAACTCCAAGTGGAAAGAAACTAGAGAACGACCTTTGATGACTCCCTCCTCTAGCTGCAAGTTGCACGCCTAGGTATAAAACTACAAAAAATAAATATAACAATTTCTGTAGATGGGGTAAACTTCGAAATAAGTCTATTCGCATATGTCCAATTTAGTCCCCCAGTATCACGTTCCTCCAATTTAATCCCTTAACTATACAAAATGGATCTGAATGATCCCTTTTGGATTATATTAGGATCAATTTTTAACACATTTACAACATGAAGGCTATTATGGACCAATTTTATATGGTCGAGTGACTAAATTTGAACAATGTAATACTTTGGGATTAAATTGGCTACACACGACTACTGGAGATTATTTTGAAATGTTTCTATATGTACACACATACATATATATAAAATGGAGATTATTTTGAAATGTTTATATATAAAATTGGCTTCAATACCTCACAAAACTCGAGGTTTTTCTTCCTTTGGAAAACCAAGAGGATTTTCTTTCATTTATCCCATGTGAATCATGAAATCAATACTTTGTACAAGCATCTAGTGCAAGCTTCTTGATAGTCACTCATGGAATATTCCTTGACATATTCATTTTTTCTATTCATGCAAACAAGGCCACGTGATAACCATGCTTGAAAATAGGAATATATCTCATGCAACTTCTTTCGGTCCGGTGCAACACAAGTTGTACCAATCAATAAAAATTTAAGATCAAAATTAACAATATACTGCTGTAAAAGTAACTTTTCTATTAGAATCATCGTTATGTTCACTAACACCATTGTCTTCGCAATTGCTTCGAGGTTATCCTTTTCTGTTCTGAAAAAAATTAACAAGATGTCATTTACTTATTTTTCTGCTGGTTCCTATAAAGAATTGCTTTGGTTGAAAGGCAGGCGTGAGTTGTGGAGGTTTATTTTTATTTATTTTACCAGATCATATTTCGGGATCTCAAGACTTCCAACATTCTCTTGGATGAACACTGGAACGCTAAGCTCTCAGACTTTGGCTTGGCTAGAGAAGGCCCGGAAGAAGGTTCAACTCATGTTACTACAGCTGTAAGTTCTTTAGCAAGGATTAATGGATATTGGTCAAACTGTTGCAATTTGCATGTTCTTCTCCTAACATATCAGTGGCATTTAATACTTGCTTTCTTTTTCTCCTTCGCTGCTTAGAAGCAACTAGAATCATAATTTGGACTTGATAGAACAACTACCACCATCTTGACATTTACCTTCAATTTGCTGTAGCAAATTTAATACCTCAACTTTCCTAACCGGGTCATCGGAAGGCCTCCGTTTAATGTGACCAAATCATCTAAGACGACTCTCTCTAATCTTATCTTCCACTGGAGCTACTCTAACCTTTTCACGTATATGCTCATTTCATATCGTATCTCTAAGGGTGAAACCACTCATCCACCTAAGCATCCTCATCTTTGCAACACTTCAGATATTTAAAATAGGAATATTTTTTTTCTTTCAGTATTTGGGTTTAAGTTTCTTTTTCTTTCGAGTCAATATAAGATAGATGAGATATCAGATATCAATTGCCTCTATTCATCAGGTAGCTAAGAACTCGGCCGTTGCCTCAATGCCTCCTTTTGAAGTTGTTGCCACTGTATCACTATAATCTATTTTTGCTTGTAACATTTGTTACTGGTCGTGCCTTGTCACATAAAGTTTGCAACAAAGCTCATGGCAACCTGCTGAGAGACAGCTATTCCGATCGCTAATAACTTCTGGCAACTGCAAAACTGCCAAATTGCAACCATTTTGCCTATCACCAAAGGACATTATTCCAGTAGTTCATTGAGAATAGATAAAATGAATGAACTTTAGCCATTTTGTCCCTGTTATAGTGATTCCATGAAATCCTTCCCTTCTCTAACACTTTTCTTTCTTCCCATTAGTGCCAGCAGAATCCGAGCATATACTATATCCATTCTTAAACTTCTTAACAGTTGCATAATTTACCAAAACTGCCGCATCTAAATCCATGGACAACTTTCTGAACAGGTTGTTGGAACTCTAGGCTATGCTGCTCCTGAATACATGCGAACCGGTCGACTTACCGCCAAGAGTGACATATGGAGTTTTGGGGTTTTCCTCTATGAACTCATCACCGGTCGTTGCCCAATCGACAAAAATCGACCGAAAAACGAACAAAGGCTTTTGGAGTGGGTTAAACCCTACATCTCTGACATTAAGAAATTTCGAATGATAATAGACCCGAGGCTCGATACACGCTCGTCCTTGAAATCTGCGATGCGGCTGTCGACCGTTGCGAACCGTTGCCTTGTGCAGCATGCAAAGTCAAGGCCTAGAATGAGTGAAGTAATGGAAATGTTGCAGAGAATTGTGGAGAATTCAGAGACTGGAGCTCCTCAGCCTCCACTGAGATCAGTTCCTCTTCAGGAAGAAGCAGCTCAAAAGAGTCAAAAGAATGGATTGGATCAGAAGAGAAGGTTAAGTGAATTGAAAAAGGGAGAGGGGAGACGATTGGTTTGGCGAGGTTGGACGCCAAAGCTTATAAAAACGCACTAGTTTTGGCTGGTGAAGATGATGGAAGAGGTTAACTAGTTTGTCAATATCTTTGTAATACTTTAGGGGTAATTTTTTTTGTGTGTGTATAATGGTGAGGGGTTTAATTTGGCTGTTCCAGAATTGAATTCAGCTATAGCTGTCTTGTCATGTTTTCATATAGTCATGTACAGTTCTTTTCTTTCTCACTTTTTCTATGGTGACTAAGGTTTTGTTTGGGGCGGCGTTCTTATTGCTTCTTAAAGCAGTTTTTTAGTACAAAAATTAATTTTTTTATACTAGAAATCTGCTTTAAGAAGCAGTAAGAAAGCCGTCCCAAACGAAGCCTAAAACTACTTGACCGAAAAATCTTGTTAGCATTTACTTTCTTAAGTGAACTTTGCATTTTCTCATACAAATTTCCAACTGAAGCCAGCGTTTTGTTTTCCGTTCTGGTTTATTGATAATTGATTAAAAAAACAGAAGAAAGAAAAAGAAGATTTTAAATTTTTTTTTTTTTTGAAACGATCCTTTTCGAGTTGATAATTTTCAAATGATGATAAAGATGGTTTGATAATTGCTCCAAATCTTCAGATTACTGACTGAGGTTTCTCTGTATCTTTTAAGGCAAAAAGGCTATGATATCGAATTCTGGAACTGTATTGGGCATTTAATTGTCACCCTCAGGATTCAGGAGAAATTATTATATGCGGAGTTTAGATGGGATAACCGTCCGATTTATTAAGTATACTCAGTAAATTTATTGAGTATAATCAATAAATCGGATGGTTGTTTTGATCCGGACCCTGCACAAAATAATTTCTCAGATTCAGAGAACACACTGTTACTATTAAGTTTAAATAAGCTAATTTAAATGTTGTTCATAAAAATATCAAAATTTTATTTCATATTTAATCAAACTAGGGAGAGAGAGAGAGAGAGAGATTTTAATTGAATTGAGTTTTTATTGTAAGTATAAGATTGTAGTATGTTCATGCTTATTTAGTGACTTATTTAAAGTTGAGGGCTAAAGATGGTGGTGCAAGTGAACTACACGGTGAGATCATAATAATACATAAGTTGGCTCATTAAAGCTAGTTGTGTAGTAGGCAAATTTAACTATAAGTTGTTAATTTAAGTAAACTTTGGATGAGTTTTAGATTGAGGAAGAGTGCCCCCCTATGGGTTCATTTGACTAGAAACAATAGTTAGCTGATGAGCATTTTAGATGAGTAGTCGAGTTCATTAGGTGAATAGGCTTTAATGAGTGGGTGAATTTATGAATCCTTGTACGGATTTAGTGGCCGAGTACTGAGAAATGGGTTGGGTATGTCTTTTGAGCGACTAAGGAGATTTGGTCCTAAGAGATTGGAGGCTTTGGGTAGCTTCAACCTTGGGTAGTTTTGAGTTGTTTCATGATCAATAATCTTTGTGTTAGTTTTATGATAATTTTATCAATTTGAGTCAGTTGAATGTGAGGGTTCGTTAGTTCCCTAATTCTCATCCTTTCAAGAAGCTGAGAAAAACAAGAGAATGATTATATAATCTAATTTGACGTGGCAAATAGTAACATAATTAGGGTGTTGGATATACAAAGCATTTGTATCTTTGACTAGTGGCATGTATGATACCATTAAAAGCCTATAAATGTGTGGACATAAATTTTTATTGCATGTCTTCATATCATTATTCTCTAATGTGTTGATTTTTTTTTATCTCTGCATGTTCTTGAAAGATGAGGATGTACATCCAAAATTGTTTGGAATGAGTTCGAGTCAACATGACTAACTAGCGAAGGTTGGTATCATGGACTAATAGATGTAAACTCTTCAAACAACTAAGAATTGTTAGTTTTTGGGTCAACCTGAAGTAGTTACCATTGTCTTGATGAACTCGTTGTCTAGTCAACCCAAGATTAAAGAAGTGTAAAGTATTTTCCTATCCTCTCAGTTATGGAGGTTAATTAAGTAAATTCACTCTTTACAACTTAACATGACTACTGATCACCACTCAGCTAAAAAAGTCGAAGTCGATCAACGATTTTGTGTGTCGCCACTCACATATGAAAAGTACTAAATGCATAGTTAAATTCTCAAAAAGTCACTGCTAGTGTATCTTTATTTTATGTAAAGCCTTTATTAGGTCATATTCTATAAATCATATATTTGCTATTAATTTCTTTTAAGGCTACGCCTCTACCCCACCTATAAATAGATGGTGGGAGGGCAGGCCTAGTACATAGCTTATTGCCTTGAGTTATCTACTTTTTAGGATTAAGAAGTCATAAGGCCTTCTCTCTCTCTCTCTCTCTCTCTCTCTTCTCATTATTAAGCTTGCTAATATGGTTTGAGTATTGCCTATAAATAAATTTAGATTCCATAAAGGAAGTACATTGTCTCACAATTGTTACTATTTTTATGAGTTTAGTAGGAGGTCTAGGAAGATCATGATGTGTAGTTATAATGGTTATTTAGGCATCTATATATACTAAGAATCCTCTGCTAAAGAAGAAGAAGACCAATCCACCAAAAGAAATAAAGGTGGTTGAGAGTGATACTCCCCACCAAGTGAAGTGGTTTTTGAGAGGGCCTATAGGCTTTAGAAGGTAGAAGTTGGTCTCCTAGGAACAAGCACTCCGAAATGGGCTTTGAATATATTTTGGGTAGTGATTTGACAATGGAGATGAAACTTAATATTTCTCCATATACAATAAAGAGTAAATGTTTCAACACTCATGGATCTTCTTTTGTATTAGAGTCCAGCATGTTCTCAAGGTTTGAAACTCCTCAAAGTAAAATATTAAGACTAGAGTTGATCTCGAACATCATTAATTCGAGTAGCAATATCTGGGGCCAAGGAGCCACACCAAGGGTGAGTGAAGACGAGCTTCACATGATGGCAGAGCTAGAGAGGGAACAAGTTGGAAGTATGAAGGAATCAACTCCTAAGAATGCCACTAGCAAAGATGTTGTCAAGTCACTCACAAAGTTGGGAACCTCAATGATGAGAATGTTGTCAGCTAACAAATGGCATGAAAGTTTCCATGGGAGGTGACTTCGCAAAAGAAATAATTGGAGATACTGTTGAGCAAGTCTCTACTCCAAAGGTTATGACTTTAATGATATGGAGGAATCCTAAACTTATATGTAGAGAGGAAAGGAGATGATATGTTGGGTGACTCTATGTGAAATCACTTGAAAATGAGCCACATATGACAATATCTATGAGTAGATTGGAAGTGTTGATTCAAATATGACATCAATAAAGAAAGAAGCAAACGCATTTGAAGTCAATGATGAGCCCAAGAAGGTGAAGAACACTAAATTAATTATTATGTTTGAAGTTTCTGGGCAATACAAGAGGTTGAAGGTGAATGAAGTTGAGGCCAAGATCAACTAATAAAGTAGTTGCTTTGTCTATCTGACAGAAAGATCTATTCAAGAAGTTTTTCTAAAGGTTGATAAGATGAGGACTAACAATATCCTGATGAGGGGGCTTATGAGACTACTCAAACAAGTCATTTCATAACGTTTATGGAGTTCACCCTTCATTAACTGATCTAGTTAAGTGACCTTCCTCAAGAGGTACCTTTAATCCATAGTTCAATGCATATTAGGAGGATCTTTGACCTTCTTGTATGCCAAGTTCAAGATTTCTGGCTCTTCAAGTTATCCTCCCATGAATTAATTTTCTATTTTTGCCTAATACACCTCATAAAATGAAAGTTTTTAGAAGGAAATTGAGCTTTAAGTTTTCTTTAACTTTTTTAATAGAGTTTTTAACAAAATAAGAATTCATTTTGCCTTTGAATTTTTATAAAGTTGTAAGTCTTTCTCATTTATTTATTTATTTTTTGAACTCTTATGTGTGAAGTCATAACTCATAAGACATTCATCCTTCTAAAATAAGTTAAATTGTACACTTAGTCCTTTTACTTTAGTCATCATAAATTTGGAAGTTGATCTTTGTTGATAAAGTCACCTTTTGTTGGGAATTGAACCTTTATTGAGAAGTTGCCATTCTTTGGCTAAATTAGCTTTCTTCAGGAACTCAAACTTCACAAAAAATCTACCTTCATTGGGTATTCAACCATTATTAGTGATGACAGCTTAGTGTTATATCAACGATAGCTAACATTCATAATCCCCGATATAAATTTACTTTTGTAAAGTAGTGTTGCAGGATATTGTCTAAAGGGGATTATGTCTCTGAATTAAGAAAGGTTAAATATAAGTTATTCTCGTTATTTGCAAACTATACAATAAAAAGTGGTAATGGTTCAACAAGGCAAGATTCAAATGCAACTCAAAGGATGCAAAATGGTTTATCAAGAAGCACTTCTTCTACTATGATTAAGTCATAATTTCTACATGTACTTAATTCATTTCAATTATTTTTTCCCATTCTTCCACTAAATTTGTTCAACATTTTGAGTTTCTCTAACAAGACCTTGATTCTTTTGAGGAGGAAGTCATAATGCCTAGGAAGTTAGAATTATAAATATATCTCAATGAACCAAAATTTGATAGAAAAATAGAGCAAGATATATTGCAGTTTGGAAAGGCAATCAATATGGATTTCTTGAGGTTTATGTTATGAGTCATGATGTGTTGTACATCCTAATAACTACTATAGCCTTTGAAAGCTTCTTCAACAATAGTGGTGGAGTTCTAGATCAGTATTGAAGTGTACTCGAGCATGATATTATTAAGGCATTAGTTTGTGCAAATTAGCACAACCCTACACACACAATTGTTTGGACCATTCCTGAACTTCCAATTTTTTAAAACTTTTGGATAACACTACTTTTCTAACTTTCAATATGTAACTTGGCATAAGTTCATCTAGCATAAGAAATTTGCTTTGCAGTACTCCTCTTATGCTTGGATGGTTATTAATTGGCCTCAAAAGGGCGAATCTTCTTATTAGGATAGGCATTGATGTCACCCTTGTTTGCTCACTTTGTTATAATGCTAATGAGTCTCATCACCATCTTTTTTCGACTAAGATTTTTGTTTCAAAGTTTTGTCTACACTTATGTCATTTCTAAGTAGCTTCATGCTTAGACCTAATATGCTACATGACTTTGAGCTCATCGGCAATATATCTCATTTCAGTTTGCTAGATAAGAACTTTGGCTTCTTTACTACTTGAGGCACCCTTTATTATCTTTGGCGGGGAAGGAATAATAGGCAGTTCTCCGCCTCGA